TGCTTGACTTCTTCAGGATTTTTTTTGGACGCCATGGTGCTGAATTCCAAAGTTGGGACTCTCCAGCTTGAGCTTCGTTTTAAATGGGTTCCTAGCTCATACATAATTTGAAAAGGCGTCAAGAAACAAAAAGCAAGACATTTGGAAGTAAGAAATTCATTTTGCAAATACGGTGGCTCAGTAGGCATGATATCTTTCTAAATATCACATTTTGCTCATGAACCAATATACAGTACCGGCCAATAAAATATACAAAAATATTATTTTCAATTGATTTTTCGCGATTTCAATCATTTTCAGGAGTCCGGAGCTCGGTTCTCAAATTTCAAATCACGTTGAAAACTTTGGAGGGTGTAAAACGTCCGTAGATTTGAAATTTGCGTTCACTGATTTTTAAAAAAGTTCCTAGTTTTTTCAGCTATCCAATTTGTGAAAGACACTTGTTTTCACTTTTTAGTACAAAAAAAGGCTAGCAAGAGGTGTCTTTCGGAATTCGGCAATTAGATGAAAACCTAGGAGATTTCAAAAAATTTTGTGAATGCAAAGTTTTGAATCTAGGTCTATTTCACATCCATCAAAATATTCAAAATAATCGGAAACTAGACAGCCTCCAGACTCCTGAAAATGGTCAAAATAGCCAAAAATCAACTGAAAAAATATTTTTGTATATCTTATTGAACGGTACTGTGTACATGTTATGAATTTCGTTTTTTTTTTTCAAAAATTGATGTGTTCTTCCAATACTAATCTGTTCTTCCAATTTTCTATAGAATACTCCATTAAGTTTTCAGTGCTATAACCATGAAATAGAAGTATCTTACATTGTCAACTTTACCGATTTCCAATATATTCAATGAGAACTGAAGAGAATTAGGTCAATGTTGTGAGGGTTACTACAGATTTATCGTAGTCCAGCCTAGGTTTTTAAGTTGAGCATTTTCAGCATAGACACTAGGAAATCCCTCGAAAAGAATAATCCATAAAAAAACGCCCTTGACACAATCATCTTCTTTTCTCCCTAAATTACACATGTGGAGTGCTGCACTTATGAGATATATGAATTATATATCAGCTCTTCTCTGTTTTTTCTTCTATATTTCTTTTTCCACAACCCCGTTTTACCCGGGATGGGGCGGAAAAAGAAACGTTTGCGCAACGCATCCTTACCCGCCCATCTTCATCTCAACATAGTTTTTCTCTTCATAACTCATACTCCATACCCATTATGTTTTCTGTACTAGAAATTAATATCAAGAACCCTTTTTCGCCTTCTTGAGCCTTCATCTTTCCATTTTTCCAATATAATTCATCCTCCCTTTTTTTGACTCATATTTTTTGCAATATAAAGAAACGGGCTCATAATTGAGAACGGGGTCGGTTGAGTAGACACGACTTCATTTTTGGACCTGTGAAGAAAAAGAAAGGAAGACATCGAGATATATGGGTACTTGTCTTCATCACTCCGTTCTATACTCTACAAATTGGATTATTTCTTCAAGTACCATGTGCATCATCATCAGGAAGGTTTTTTTGTCTTGTTTTGTTTTTTTTGTCGGAAAAAGAAAGCATGAGAGAGTTTATTATTATATACGTCAGAAATATCGCAAAGAAATCGTAAGAAAAGTTATTGATTTTTCTTGATTTTTATCGAATGAATTCCGGAAATTTAAACGTGCCCCCATTTACAGTTTTCCAAAAGTTGAAAGTTTCAACCAACTCTTTAAGTTTCAATAATTCAGTGATAGTTTTATTTTTCATATCACGAGTAGCTGGAACTTTTTCGGGATCCTGGAATGTTACAGAATACAGTAGTTTTCAAAATTGATCAGGATTATAGGGAAGTTAAGTTTAAACTCATTCCAATCTCCCAGTTTTGTGAATATCTTAGATTCGAACTACAGTGGTTTACCCTAAAACTTCCGAATATGAATACCATTCGATTTTGAGCATTTTTTCTTCAAATAAATAGATCAAAGTAGTCACCTCAAATAGAGGATATACGGTATAATTTTCTGATGATCGATTTTCTCAGCTTGCCTGTTTAAATCACTGATGTTTGGGTTTTTACACTTTTTTTCGTCTTTTTTTTCCCCATCATCTCCCAACACCAAGCGGTCCCAATCAAAAATTATCACCGATCCGTCAGTGGGATGTCTTCATGTCGACAAACCACTGCAGCACCGATATAAATTGCAGTTGAATGGGGGACGCGACAGCTGATGAGATGAGAGCCGATCTTCTCATTTTTCATCCCCTTCCAAACACCCAATTACAATTAGAAACAGTTGAGTGTTGGGGGAGAAACGAGAAAAAAGACGATGGGGCACAAAAATGTGAGGAGTGGGGAGAAAAAAAAAGAAGAACTGACACTGATCGCATGGAAATGAGCAGGCGAAAAAAAAGAACGAAAACGAAAAACGCGACAAATTTCTCAGCGTTGATCGAAGAGTTAGCGAGAAAAGAGGAAATAGAGATGGCAGGAAAAACCTGCCAGGTTTACTTCTTTTCTCTCATTTTGTTATTTTCTTACCTGTTATTTACAAAAGTTCGTTTGTTCACTTATCAAAGTTTAGAAACAGCATTTTGGATTTTGAACAAGGATTTCTATTTGTTATTGTAAATCCACATTTTTGTACAAGCCTCTGTGAAGGGGGAAAATGTCGGATTCTATTTAGAAATTACTTTGAATTTCATAAAAACATTACTTTTGAATTTTCTGCGTTTCAGTTCCAAAGCAGGTTAAAAAAACATATCGAATGAAATCATTTTCTACAGTATCTTTTTGTTGAAAACTCTGAACTTCTGAATGTTTTAGTCTTGTCCATATGTAAAATGTTCAAAAACTGTTTTCCGATCTTTTTGACAATTTACATCATATTCCATCAGAAATAATTCCTTATCCAAATTTTTTCGAAAGTTTATATTATAATATTTATCAAAGTTCACCCTTTCACTTCCCATTTCGCACAAAACCTTTCCATAAACTTTTTTCCGTAAGCTTCAGAGTCCATCATCAAAGTGAAAATATTTCGAAAAGGAATTCTCGATTTCCTATGAGAAACTACCAAGTGGTTTCCGGAGACACTTTTGGAGAAAACTTGGGGAAAACCCTTTTTTCTTCTTTTTTTTTTCATTTTTTTCTTTTTCCTCTCTCTACCTTGCAGTTACTCAGTTTAATATCGCCATAAATGCTCGTGTTGTTGGTTCCGTTTTTTTCTACTTGTTCCATTTCGTTTTCACCTGACTGAGTTCCAACTTTTTGTTCATTGTTCTTGTCGTTGTTCGCACACAGTGTGGACAATTAATTGTATATTATTTCTAGAAAGAGCCTAAATATGACTGATCGGAATAGGTTCGCTGTTATAAACTGTCCTCTCGTCAGAAATCCTACTTATGTGCATGTTAAAAACATCCGAACATCTCTGATATTCTTGAAATTTTTTGTTCACGACTCTCGTGACCAAAACTCAATTTATCATCGGTCAGCAAAGATATGTGCTGTGTCATCAGAAAATTGATCACGCCTCGATATGACTGCATGATTTTTTGTAATAAGCTTCGTCTCCCCCTGTCTCGAAAAAGTCTTGTTCCAACAAGACGATGGATGCTCCTCTTAAATAATGAATCAGCTGCCAAAAAAGGAGTTTTGGTTGAATTGTTTAGAGACCAAAAAAATTTGAGACGGACTTTTGTGCCTCAGTGAGCTTTTAGATTTTTCTTTTTTAGTTTAAAATTTTTTTTGAAATTTTTGGTGTTTAAAATTGGAGGAACAATGAAGCTAGTTGATTTTATACGTGATCCATTCTTATTTGAAATAAGGGAACTTATTTCTATTAAATTTCTGTGCCTTTGCTGTATTTTTCACTCTGGAAAATTTTTATCTACTTTCCAGACATTTTTCAATGCATAAGGAAACATCTGATTTAAAAGATTCCCGATCTTTGGTCTCCTCTCACCCCATCCTCCGGAATCAAAGATTCTATGACTCACCTTCCAAGAATTTAAAGATAAAAATCAGCCCCTCTTGGTCTACAAGGTAGAAAAAAACTTCGAAGGACCGTTGATCAAAGAAAACGACCGACTTTGGGAGAGGGAGACAATTAGTCTTGATCACGCGCACGCAAAACGTTTGGTGGTGGCGAAGAAACCAAGCGGTTGGGCAGCCCGCAGTGTATTCCACCAACAGGCATTGAATTGGCTCCAAAAAAATGTCACATTCAATTGTAGGTAGTGTTTTGTGTTGGTGTAGGAGCCACACTTACATACTCGCACACAAGGCTGCGCCCTCCTTCCGAGTAGTCCTCGACGACGTAACACCTCAATTTCATGGGCTTTTAACGGCTGTGTGTTGTCCCATACAACTAACAAAAAGCCAATGACTTCCTACCAGCACCTTCTTTTCTATTTTACCGAAGGAAAAAAAACTTGTCTGGGTCGCGCGACCGACCAGAAGAGGTCACCCTCTGTGATGCTTGTGTTGCTAGTTCTTCAGGTCTGATCACTGCTCAACGATTTTCTCTTTTTTTCATTCCTTCTACATGTTTGCTAATACCTCGGATCAAATGTAAATATTAAAATTTTTCCTCTGTGCACAACGCACCATCTCATCCTTCCGCATTCATTTTCTTCTCAATTTATTTTCTCATTTTTTCTTCTCCAATTGAGTATACATCAATGAATCTTCAAGAGATGGCTATAGCAGCGTGAAGATCATCAAGCTTCATCTCTTCCTCATGAATTATGTATAATCGAACTTTGTCTGTAAATCATCAAAGCCCCATGTCTTGTGATTCTTTCAAGTTTGCAATCTTCCATCAATCCATCAATCTGATAAAAAAACATTTTTCAATTTTCAATATATGTTTTCTTGTTTTTTATCCACTTGTTCATCACATTTCATTTGAAAATGTTGATCGCCAAAACCTTTCTAACTGTCTGATTTCCCCTCTTTTCGTTTTTCTCCAGGTCAATCTTAAAATCTTTATTATTTTCAGAACAAGATGGCAAAGCTTTCCAAGGAAAACCTGCTGCTCTTGTTCACGGTGCTTGGTGTTGTGATTGGTATAGGATTGGGCTACTCGCTGCGAGACCCGAGCACAGTTTGGTCAAAACGGCACCTATCGTACCTCCGATTTCCTGGCGATCTGTTTGTTCAGATGCTAAAAATGCTCATATTGCCGATGATCATGTCAAGTATTATGTGAGTTTGTGTTTGTTGCCATTTGACAAGAAAGCACAGGAAAATTGCGTCAAAATGCCATAGACACAGATATGCTACCTCTTGAAGTAGGGGGTTTATTCGGCTTGCTGATCTCTCAATGACCCTTGAAGGTTTTTGCGCGCTGCATTTTTGCTCTCCAGTGTTTGACACGTTAAGAAATTGTTAGACAAGGGAGTGCTAGGAACAATTATGAGACCAAAGAAACTTTTACCAGTAGAACAAAATGGAACGATTGTTGGTCTTGATACAACGAAACAGTTTTGTAAGAAAATTATAACATACCAATAAACTAATTTTGAAATAGGAAGGTTCAGAATGGCCTATGCAAACAGTAAAAAAATCGAAGAAATTTTTAAAACCCTCAAAAACCTATTGTTTGCGTCTTCGGCATACCGTAGTCTAGAAAACTCAGATTCAAAAAAAATCATAATTCTTCCGGTCCGAGCTCCATTACGGATGTGCTCGGAAAATTTTAGGAACTTCCGAATTCTGAATTCCGTTCCGAACAAACCTGGCTTGGAAAACCAAATTAGCGAATATGAAGTTAGAAATACCTCAAGAAAATGTTCATGCTCTTCTTATCTACCACTTTACAGTACGAGTTTGGCATCTTTGGATTCTGGAACTGCTGGTCGACTGGGAATAGTATCCATGACGTACTACACTCTCACCACTTTCTCTGCTGTGTTTCTTGGTATTTTAGTTCTCCGTACAAAAAAGTTCCACTATGAAATTATAGGTATTGTCCTTGTAACACTTATCAAACCCGGAAAATGGACGACGACAAACGTTGAGGATCTTGTTGGGAACGTTAAAACTACCCCATGCGTCGCCACCGCTGTCGACACTATCATTGACCTCATGAAGTTAGCGTTCAATTCTCATTTCTCAATCAAACACATTTTTCAGGAGTTGCTTCCCAGAAAACCTAATTGAGGCCACTTTCCGGTCCCAGAAAGTTTGCCTAAAGTTTTTCAATGGCACCCAAGAAATCCCACCGGAAGTCGCTATGACCATGTCACCAGGTGCTTACCACTCACCAACAAAAATTCCAAAACTTTAATTTTCAGAACAACGATCAAAGTTCACTGAAGTTCCGGAAAAGATTGTTTCAGATGGAATGAACATTCTTGGTTTGGTTGTTTTCAGTGTCGCTCTTGGTATCGTTATTGGAATCATTGGAGAGGACGGAAAACCGATGAAGAATTTTTTCAAAAGTTTGGAGGCATGCAGTATGAAACTCATCGGATGGGTTATCATGTAAGGATGAGGAATCTAGTGTCGTGGGATTATCAAAATGTTTCAGGTATTCCCCAGTCGGAATCACGTTTTTGATTGCTGCTCAAATTGTTGGAATGAAGGATCCAGGACAGGAATTGCATCGGTTGATGGGATACGTTATCACTGTTATCCTGGGACTCCTTATCCACGCTTTTGTGATTATCCCACTTCTCTGTGTTGTTGTGAGTAACTCTTCCAAATAGTTTGTTCTTAGTTCTCATCATGACTTTCAGCTCGCTCGCCGCAATCCAATCAAATTCGTCGGAGGAATGGCTCAAGCTCTGCTCACGGCTCTGGCTACAAGTTCCAGTTCGGCAACCCTTCCACTCTCCATCAAGTGTTGCGAAGAGAACAATAAGGTTGATCCACGTGTCACTCGTTTTGTCTTGCCACTCGGAGCCACTATGTTAGAATATATTTACAAAATTTTCTCACATCAAGTATTTTTAGTAACATGGATGGAACTGCCCTTTACGAAGCCGTCGCTGCCATTTACATCTCGCAATGCGTTGGAAACGATTTGTCGATTGGAGAGGTCATTCTTGTGTCATTGACAGCCACTCTTGCCAGTATCGGAGCTGCCGGAATCCCACAAGCTGGTAAAAAACAAGGGACGATGGTGTGCAATGTGCATTTTGAATAATTCAGGAATTGTCACAATGATTATGGTTCTCATCGCTATCGGACTCCCAACCAACTTGTTCATCTTGATCTTCCCTGTTGACTTCATGCTCGACAGACTTCGCACTACGGTTAATGTTCACGGAGATAGTATTGCCACTGCTGTCATTGAACGACTATGCGAGGACCAGTTGCAGAAAGGTATGAACTAAAAAAATGAAGCGTATCGAAGAAAAATTTGAGACAAATGTGCTAATTCTAAAACTTCAGATACCCACACGAAACATTTGGAGGAGAGTGATGAACAAGTCAAGTTCATCTAGATCAATGTAGGGAGTGTTGACTGAAAATAATTGCTTTTCAAACATAACAGGGTGCACGGAAAAAATTTTAAATTCAAAATTTTGATGGGGACTTTTTTTAACGCTGGCTGAAAATCTAACTGCTTATTTCTACTTTCTGCCGTTTTTCTCTAATCACTTTTGTTGCGATATCAGAAAACTGAAAAATGTATAGTTACAGGTGGACATCATCACGACACCAATGACCAAGGATACTCAATGCTTTCGACTAACGCTTCCCCTGACCCAAAACGAATTACCATAGGAAATAACTGCGAAAACTCTCATATGTTGTAAATTTCTAATTGTTTTTTTCCTTGTGGCAGTTAGTCTCTTATGGCGATTTATTGAATAGAGCCAGCTCGATTATTTCGCTTCATTCAGTATATCAGTTCCATTCGAGTTTTGCTGTCATTTTTTCCAACAGTAACATTTGAAAATCTGTGTTTAAGAAATATCTTAAGTTAAAACTTTAGCAAAGATTTTCAGTAAGTACTGTAGCCACCGTTGATTCTTTGATCGAAGCTTACCCTATACTTTGAGCTCAATTACCTCGGTTCCTTCAAACGACATCAAAATTTTTCCAACCTATAAAATGATGTTCGTAAAATCACCAACATTATATTTGTTGACGAAATTTCCATATTTTTTGAAGGCACCGAGATAATTGAGCCCAAATGCACATATAGGGTGGGCTTCTGAGCATTTATGATTCTTTTATTTCTATGGGAAACGAGAAGATCAGTTTCAATGTTTGGACAATTTAACTGAACCTCGCTTCAAAATCCCAGCCAAGAATTAATCAAAATTCTCTATCAAACCTGTAATAGAAAGTTACACTAACAGAACACTTTGATCCAATTTATCTAGAAAACCAGGAAAATTAACTCAAAGTTGACAGTTGGAGGGCTCTTATATTACAGTTTTTACGGTATCCCTAATTTCCTTTAATTATTTTTCTGGTTTGATATTTTGTGAAACATTTACACACACACACAGAAAAATCTATTGGTGCTTCACAATTTATCAAATCGGGTTCCATTCCACTAGTTTTTCATTATTTTCTACCTTATATTATCTGGTTGAACTCTAGATTAGTCACTTTTTGAAGTTCAAAAACGTCTTTAAACTAGAATTTAACCAATTTTTCTCATTTTTTCTTCTCAATTATTTCGAGAATGCTTTCCCTCGTGTGCTCCCCCCGTTTTCAAAATTTGACAAAAAATTGTACAGCTTAAGAATTCCTGGTGTTTCCTTCCATTCTTCTAAATTTCTCGGTTGTAACTTTGACCCAAATCTTCCCCCTCTCAAACCTAGTTTTTCACTCTTCCTGATGTCCTCCACCTCATGCTTCATTTCGAATCTCTCGAACAAGAAAACATGACGATATTTCTGACAACTTCCCATATGTTCTTCTGAAACTATATTACTTTTGTTTCTTACACTTTCTCCCAACGTGCTGCGAACAATTGCCAATGTCGTTCAACCGAAATTGACTCCAGATGTTTTGTCTCATCTGTTCCCCATCCCGTTACAATCAATCATCTTAAAAATAATAATTCGCTATTAGAAGTGTGATTATTACCAAATTGTTTCAATTAATCTATTGTTTACTTCTCTACGTTATGTTTTCATTATCTCCCGATTAGTTTGTTTTACACATCAAACTTTGGCGTGTCATGCCGATTTGTCTCTCTGCTTTTTCTTCCACTTTGTCTCAAAGAAATGCATCAACTTTGCTGTTGTAAGCAAATTTCTCATTTTTCGCCGCTTTCAAAAATGTATTTTTCTTCCACTTAGAGTTAGATCAAAATTTCCTTCTCATTCAAAACGAAATTCAAAGATTTCTTTTTTTGTCTTAATTTGTGAAACAAAATATTTTTAATGACAATAAACTTTCTATTATCTTATTTTTCACTGACTTTTGTGCAGATTTTCAGTTTTGGGAATGCAACTTCATATATGACAAACGATTTACTGATAAGAACAAACCGGAGAATATACGAAAAAGCAAAAAAAAATGTAAATGCAATCAGAAATTTTGGAATATGAGGCCATGGGTTTTTTTGGGATTGGGTTTATTAATGGGAAAAAAACAGAAAAAAAGAGGTCACAGAAAAATTATTCAACGACGACTTCCTCTCCAACATTTGGATCAGAGGTGATCTCTTCTGGCTCAAAGTCAGCAGATGGAACGCTGAGTGGGATGAACTCCACTGGGGCTCTGGCTCCCTCAACCTTGACCTGCTCGACGTACTTTGGTGGTTCCAAGTTTTTGCGGATCTGCTCGAGCTCTTCGTTCTGCTTGCGTCCCCATTCTGCTGGTGGTCGTCCACTTCCGCGGACGAGGGAGGCTTGCTTTGGCTGTTCTGGGTTCTCGAACAAGTATCGGCGGTCTCCGTACGATCTTCTGTCGGTCTGACGGTCGAACTTGGAGGCAGTGGTGATCTTTGGTGGGTGAACAGATGAGGCAGCTTCCTCTGGGTCGAGTCCCTTCTTGAGAGCCTTGTTACGCGCGGCTTGGCGTTGACGCTCGTGCAATTCTTTCATCTGAAAATTTGAAATTCTATGGATGGTACTATCGAGCATAGAACTCACGTCGTATTCTTGCCTCTCACGTCTTTTCTCCAAATCGTACTTCTCAGCCTCGAGCTTGACAATACGGGCATGGAGGGTCTTGATTCTCTCCTTCAAGTCGTTTGGAAGAAGTCCAGAGACATCTTGTTGACGGCAAACGGCTGCCAAGAAGTTCTTCTTTTGCTCCTCAAGCTGTTCTTTGCTCATGGCGTCCTTAGCCTTGCCCTGAAACCACAAAACTGTAAGATTTTGAATTCAAAAACGAAGTAGTACCTGAGCCAAGTTTCCGAACTGAACGGCCTGGTCTCCCTTGGAGGAAACTGTGAAGTTGCGGCCAGCTCCAGCCTCAACACGTCCGTTGAAGGCTCCAGCCATCATCTGCTGGCGACGAAGCTTCTCCTCGTTCTTGCGGACCTTCTCGGCGTCGGAACGAGCCTTACGCTCTTCCTCCTCCTTACGGCGGCGTTCGTCGTCTTGACGTCTACGCTCGGCAAATTGACGCTCGTCTTCTTCACGCTCAGCACGACGCTTCTCTTGCTTCTCCTTTAGCTCACGAAGTTCTTGCTCGATTTGCTCCTTCTCGAGAACACGGCGTTGCTCGTAGTCAAGAAGCTTGGCGGCCTCTTCCTCTTCGTGACGCTTCTTGGCAGCCTAGAAATATTAGAAACAGTGAAATTGGGGAACAAGACAAAAATATTACCATCATGGCGATCTCAGCCTCAGTCATCTCTGCTGGTGGCTTTTCCTCCTGGACTGGAGCACGACGCTCTTTGACCTCTGGTGGAGCAACAACCTCCTCGGTGGTCTCCTCTCTAAAACAAATTGGATTTTAAAAAAGCTTCACTAATTCTGGAAACATACGGCTCTTCAGCCTCCTCAACTGGAGCCTCCTCGGTCTCCTCGACTTCCTCCTCCTCTACCTCCTCATCAGAGCTGAAATTAGAAAAAATTAGAACTGAAAATCAAACGCGGTGTTATATTGAAAAAAGAATATAACTTACTACACTTCCTCTTCGTCGGACATGATTGTAGGTTGGTTTAGGTTCTGAAATGATATACTATGTCTAGGAAATAATCATGAAATATAAGACGAAAGAAAAAGTGGGGGAGGGGGGTGTAAACTGAGAGTCTGCTTCAGATGGCGGGATGTTGAAAACAAAAATGAAGAGATATGAAAGTGCTTGCTCCGGGAGGCCGTCGTTGGCAGGAGGTGGAGCTGAGCCGGGAGCAAGAGAGCGAGAGCTTGTCGAAGAGATAGAAAAGTATAACATACGGACACAATCTGTGCTGTAAACCTTACACCTACGCAGCGGGAGCAGCCGCTGCCAGAGGGGCAACTCTCTTTCTTTTTCTTTCTTTTCGTTGCCTCTTTTCACCGATCCCCGCCGACGATCGAGGGGAAGTCTGCGTTTCTTCAGAATCCCCAATCACCTTTGATGTGTTATCGTGAAAATAGGGCATCATGTTTCGATTCGACGGCTCGATATATTTCCGAATCGCCCATCGATTCAAGAAACTTCTAACTCTAGAGAGCGCCTAGATTCCAGAGGTACCAGAGAGCGTTTGTTGAGTGCCTACCCACCTACGCTGACAAAGCAAAGGGACCAAGTGAAGAGATATGATGATAAGAAGCGGTGACAAGTGAACAATCGCATAGTTTAACCAAAATATAATAATGAAGAAAAACAAAAAGAATGGAAGGTGTAAAATAGAAACGTGAATATCTTTCGAGAAGAAGACAAGTCCCTTGATACACGAATATGGTAATAGCCATGCTCAGAATGTTTACTCAGATAATCGCCATGCTCAAAAAGTTTACAGAAAAAATAATTGCTCTGTCCATGGAAAATGAATGCTTGAAAAAATCTATGGCTGTTTCGATGTACCATTCGGTTTTTTAGTAGTTTTCTATGGGAAGACATATGGCAGAAAATACGGCAAAGATTACAAAACATTTCCAGAGAAACCTTATGTTAATCTACTGGTTTTCAGTTTCAATTGATCGAACACGTGTAGTTTAACGTAAGCAGTCACAAAGTAACGACCTCAACTGTACCTTCTTCTAACCTTTTTAATGGGATACAACTAACCATTGGCACTTAGAGCACCTGTTAATTCTATTGAAACTTTTCTGAAATTGTCCTAAAAAGAAACTCCATTTTTGTATTTAACTTTTTTTCGTAAAACAATTAATCAAATCCTAAATTCTGTGAAATTATTGTTATCTTCGTTTCTCACTTCTGCCGATTTCATTCGATTGAAACATTACCCAAACCGTCCAGTTTGAGACCAATTGTCTTGATTTCGGTTAAAGAAAGGGTCATGCTAAAAACTACTGAACTGCAAAACTTTTCTTCGATGTCTGTCATTGATCATTTCCGGATCACATAGAACGATATTTTTTTCAAAAACTCGGAAATGACTATTGTTCAACAGATACAAGGGCCCACACTGTTTAACAAAATTTCTTCGGTAAAATAGGATCGCAGAAACGATTGTTGGCCCATTTGAAATAATTAAGATTATATTAGGTTGAAAAAGTCTTTGTAACTTTTTAGGTTTTTTCGAAACTAAACTTATTCAAAGAAAACGAATTTCATGGTGTGATATATTTATCATCATTAGTATCAATGACTTCTTGCCAACGCGATGGAAGTTGATCTAATCCGTTCGTGTGAAACTCCGAAAACTGAGAGGCGAAAGGTCGTCCAACAACTTCTCGACATCCTTTCTACCCTGGAACTTTTGCCCGTCAAGGTGATTCTGTAGAGAACGGTATAGACGATATTCCGTTAGGGTCAGGTCTGATAAATGCGGTGGATGACACAAGACCTGTACTCCAAGCGTCTGGAGCTTCTGGCGCGTCTTCGAAGTGGTGGGTGGCCTTGCGTTGTCTTTTCCAAAACGCAATCTTATCTCATTCAAAAACATCAGTTTTCCTAGACAATGAATAGCGAAAGAAAAGAATAAAAACGATGGAAGCATTGTAAACGGAATATACACAAGACAAGATAGAAGTGATAGATTTTCTAGCAAAGGAGACATGAATTATTAAATTGGAAGGAAAGTAACTGTCCATTTTTTAATTCGTGAATAACACAAAAACAAGAACCATCCAAGATTGACAGTATGCACGGTCGTGGTCCACGACATGTTGACAACATTCAGGCAACTTGTGGATACCGTACCTCCAAAAGCCAGCTGGCCGTGAATCAAAGTATACCTTCCCGGACGTTTTTTTTCTCAGCGACAGTGTAAAATTATTTTCCCTCCAAATGACGTTGAATATCTCCGAATAGCCAATAATAAAAGGGTCAACTCTGGAGTTTAAGGAAAGTGAAGAGCCGTCCATCCAAAGCGTCTTAAGACTGAATTGAGTTGTATTAAATAACTCGAGAACCTATGTTCCACGGTAAGTCAAGTAAGACCTGGGCCGCTTTAGCTGAACGTTCCTCCTTTACGCACTTCTAACTCCTGATTTAGTCCTTTCATTATTGATTATTAGGAGGTATGCAATATCATCTGGAGGGAAATAATTTAACACTAAAGTTGAGATAAAATCTGGACTCAAAAAATACTTTGAGTCGCAGGCAGCTGGCTGTTGAAGGTATGGTATCCACAAGTTGCATGTATGTTGTCAACATGTCATAGACCGCGACGGTGCATACTGTCAATTTTGGATAATTGTTGCTTTTGTTTTATTCACGAATCAAAAAATGGACAGTTACTTTTCTTCCAACCTAATAGATTTTACAGCTCTCAATGAAAACTATACAAGCACTTTTACAAGAAACACAATTTTGACTGTTATGTCTGTATGAAATTAATCAACACTACAGCCGATAATTGCAAATATATTTTAGACCCACAAATAAAAATATTTTTGTCATTCGTGAGTTCCGTCAGTTTATTTATTTTCATAAAGCAAAAAGAGAATTTTGTGAAATTTAATAGATTTATTTAGGATTTCAGAATTGTCTTTGAGAAATTACAAATCAACATGAATAGCTTTTGTTCAAAGTCTCCAGAGACTTCACAAAGTGAACTCCGGCGTCCTTATCACAGTGTTGAATTAAAATGTTTTCAAGATCGGCCTTGTCGTTTTTTAGTAGGAGACATTTATGGGTTAGTCCGTAGAGTGTAAAGTCGTTGACGAAGGATTCAAGTTTGCTCGATTTAATTGGGATGGTTCCATTTTGGAGCTGAAGCAAATATTTATAATTACAAAACCAACGGGAGATTCAGAAAAATCCTTACCTTTTCTATGCATATTCCATATGGTGACGTGAGGGTCTGGTACGTGACACACAATTCAACGTTAGGAAAGAGTTCCTGAAAATCGAATAATTCCAGAGACCGTTCATTTTCAGAAAAGCAAGGCTGAAATAATTACCTCCCGACAATACTTCCTGAGGTCTCTACTTTTTTTCTCCTGCGCAAATAGTACTCTTGTTCCAATCGGATATGTTTGGAAAACCCAATAAGTCTCCATTGATGCCAAGCATCTCTTCAGACTCTCTTCTGGCATGGCTCTCTGCTATAAATGGATAGCTCCAAAACTGTATCTCTCTAACTAACCTGGCTATCACATACCTTCCGCAAGTTTTCAGGTAAGTTTCGAAATGTATACTTATTGGTTACATCGTTGTATGCGCATGCTTGCAGAAACAGAATACAGGAAACAAGAATTACAAGTTGGCGACACACCATTCTTGATTTCAAACAGGAGAATGACTGAGAAGTCGGAAGGAGAAAAGTTCAGAATTATCACGGACAACTGTTAGCTATTTGTTGTTGATTGTTGTCAATTCTGTGATTGCTCACAGAAAACTAAGAAAAAGACAATGTTGGTGTAACAGGAGTTACTGGGTCATTTGGTGGATGTTGCAGAAAAACGAAGATAAAAATGTCCAGTTGTGACTCACTTATGAAAACTTGTGAAAGATCGAAGTTTATTGCAGAAAAGAAATTTCTTTACCGTACTGGTTAAATCGGAAGTATTTTGTTAACAATGGTCACCATTGAATATGTGAAAAATTCTAACTTGGCTCAATTTATTATCCTATGGAATTTATGGCTCTTTATGGTTTAACGAGGGTTTAAACGGAGTTCACTTTGTGAAGTCTCTGGAAACTTTGAACAAAAGCTATTCATGTTGATTTGTAATTTCTCAAAGACAATTCTGAAATCCTAAAAAAATCTATTAAATTTCACAAAATTTTCTTTTTGCTTTATGAAAATAAATAACACGGAAACTGACGAAACTCACGAATGACAAAAATATTTTTATTTGCGGGTCTAAAATATATTCGCAATTATCAGCTGTAGTGTTGATTAATTTCATACAGACATAACAGTTAAAATTGTGTTTCTTGTAAAAGTGCTCGTATAGTTTTCATTAAGAGCTGTAAAAGCTAATTCATGTCTCCTTTGCTAGAAAATCTATCACTTCTATCTTGTCTTGTGTATATTCCGTTTACAATGCTTCCATCGTTTTTCTTCTTTTCTTTCGCTATTCATTGTCTAGGAAAACTGATGTTTTTGAATGAGATAAGATTGCGTTTTGGAAAAGACAACGCAAGGCCACCCACCACTTTGAAGACGCGCCAGAAGCTCCAGACGCTTGGAGTACAGGTCTTGTGTCATCCACCGTATTTATCAGACCTGACCCTAACGGAATGTCGTCTATTCCGTTCTCTACAGAATCACCTTGACGGTCAAAAGTTCCAGGGTAGAAAGGATGTCGAGAAGTTGTTGGACGACCTTTCGCCTCTCAGTTTTCGGAGTTTCACACGAACGGATTAGATCAACTTCCATCGCGTTGGCAAGAAGTCATTGATACTAATGATGATAAATATATCACACCATGAAATTCGTTTTCTTTGAATAAGTTTAGTTTCGAAAAAACCTAAAAAGTTACAAAGACTTTTTCAACCTAATATAACCTTAATTATTTCAAATGGGCCAATAATCGTTTCTGCGATCCTATTTTACCGAAGAAATTTTGTTAAACAGTGTGGGCCCTTGTATCTGTTGAACAATAGTCATTTCCGAGTTTTTGAAAAAAATATCGTTCTATGTGATCCGGAAATGATCTATGACAGACAGCGAAGAAAAGTTTTGCAGTTCAGTAGTTCTTAGCATGACCCTTTCTTTAACCGAAATCAAGACAATTGGTCTCAAACTGGACGGTTTGGGTAATGTTTCAATCGAATGAAATCGGCAGAAGTGAGAAACGAAGATAACAATAATTTCACCGAATTTAGGCTTTGATTAATCGTTTTACGAAAAAAAAAGTTAAATACAAAAATGGAGTTTCTGATTAGGACAATTTCAAAAAAGTTTCAATAGAATTAACAGGTGCTCTAAGTGCCAATAGGTTCGTCTGTCAGGTTCGTCTGTCGACGAACCTGACGGCCGAACCTGACGGTCGAACCTGACGGTCGAACCTGACAGACGAACCTGACAGACGAACCTGACGAACCAACCTGACAGACGAACCTAAAAAACTTAATGACGTGACGAAACGGACGGAAAACGGACAAAAAACGGACGAAAAGCTAACGAAAAGCTGAAAAGCTGACGAAAAGCTGAAAAAAGCTGAAAAGGCTGAAAAAAGCTGAAAAAAACTGACGAAAAGCTGAAAAAAGCTGAAAAGGCTGAAAAATGCTGAAAAATGCTGACGAAAAACTGAAAAAGGATGAAAAAAGCTGACGAAAAGCTGACGAAAAGCTGAAAACAGCTGAAAAAACTGTCGAAATTTAAACATTTCTCCAAAATTATACTTCGGATCTAGTTTTTTTTTGCAACCAGGCCGTTCAAAGCTCAGAAAATTTCCGGAATATACCCGCGGTTATCACGGGGGTTTCCATCACACAATCTCTTCTGAGTCCCTAGGAAGTATGCATACTAACCTAGGAGCTCCCCTGCCTGCCAACCAGGCCTGTGCGGCAACAAATTGCCGATTGCCGAAATTGCCGAATTTTTGTTGCCGATTTGCCGTTGCCAAAATCGGCAACGAAGAAAAAGTTGCCGAATTGCCGTTGCCGATTTCGGCAAAAAAATTTCGGCAATTTCGGCAACTGAAATTTTTTTGAATTTAGAGATTTTCACAACTTTTTTAGTCAAAAAAATGATTTCGAAGTTCGAAAAATCAAATTTTGAACACCATCTTCTCTCAGAGTGAACTTTAGAGGAAATGTGTCCCAATAATCATCAAAAATACTTGCATCGGATCTAAAAATGGGCTTCAAATTTGTGAGCATAGGAGAAAAATAGATATCATGAGTCACAACTCATCAAAAAAATTATCCAATCTGTCTCAAATCTCTAGGAAAGGTGTGTCGTGAGTTGCCTAACAAGTTGAGCGCACTATTTTCAAAACTCACAATCGGAACAATATTTTCAACCATTGGAATACCCTCTATTGCTAAAGAGAAATAGTTTGCATTAAAAATGTGGTCTTGAGTTGCCAATTTTTGTAATTACTTTTTTAAGGAACTTATGAAACACATTTTCTGTAGTTCTGAGCCTGATAGAAGCATTTTCGGGTGAGTTACGTATTGATTTTACTAAAAAAAGACGCAAAACTTTTGTTGCCAAAAATTGCCGAAAGTTGCCGAAATTGCCGAAATTTTTTTTCGGCAATTGCCGAGTTGCCAAACGTTGCCGAAAAGTATTCGACAAATTGCCGAGTTGCCGAAACCGAAAAAATTGTTGCCGCACAGGCCTGCTGCCAACCATCCTTAGGATCTCAGCCGAATCAGTAGAGATTGTGTGATGTACCCCGAAAGACCATGCAAACGATTTCATTTATATAGGCAGGTGTTCTGGATGTACCGACATCTCCCGGGTTCCACCGCCCACTATACTTTGCGTGCAAAGGGGACGGGGCTTAGGTCGACGACTTTGTTAGAGATATTTCTTCATTTTTGAGCGGTTTTACCGAATTTCGTTTTATTTTTTGCTGACGGTATATAAAATCCGAAAAGAATGAAAAAAGAGAAAAATTCTCTAAAAATCGTAAAGTTTCCGTTTTTCTCAAGTTTGAAATTTTCAAGAATTTTTCACTTCAGGCTATGTACCAGCTGCATGATTGGTTTAAAAAATGAGCAAAAAATTCAGAAAAGGAGCAAAAATTCTGGCGACAAAAAGTATAACAAACGAGACGGAAATTCAAGCAAATGAGACCCTTCTAGCAAATGAGTACTTGCCAAGGCTAGACCTATATTTGAATACGTATCTGTACGTTACTCGTCCTGAGAAATCTGATAGACATGGTGTGCCACGTACTTTTTTTAAAATTGGAATTTTTTGAATTCAGTAAACTTGAAATTTGCACATTTTCTATTTTCCTGGATTTTCTTTTGAAGATGGAGCAGATGTGAAGTTGACATTATTGTTTGCCAATTTCTCACCTTTTAAATAAAAACAAGTTGAAAGGTCTACCATGATAATCGACAAAGTTATGGTCGCTCGAAAGGTACCTACTCCAAACAAAAATTACAATGTGCTTCGCCATTTACACAGACCTTTATACCGGCTGCTATGATTTTGGGGTTGTTCTAGCTAACTTGTGTACTAACATTTGGCATTGATTTCATCAGAATCCCCGGGATATGGAAGGCTTCCGTCGTCAGTAAAAAAATACAGTGCTTTGCACTGAGTCAGACACGAAATAATGTCTGTAATCCAGGATTTATATGATTTACAATGTTTACGTGCAGCTTAGCTCTGCCAAATCTCCAAATAGACCGATTTTTCCCACTTTCAATCTCGCTTCTATTTTCGATTAGAGAAGTACAGAAACAAAAAAGTTAGGAACATCATGGTTTGTGAATCAGGAAAACAAACAATCAAACTGATAAACAATTTGCTGTGAAACAAGTTTTATATCTGGAAGCAAAGCCGGTGCCAGGATCCTAAACGAAACATGGCGCCTGGGAGAAGACAGGGTGGTACCAGGCTCCAGAGAGACATATTGTGACTGGGACACGTAGCTTGTGTCTATTCTTATCAAAAAACGTTAAAATGTAAAAAAAATTCAAAACATGAAAGAAGACAGAAAAAGAAAAAAAATTATTTGAAAAACGAATAAATCAACTGAAATAAGGCAAAAACAAGAAAATGTAGCACTTTGGAACATTTTGGGGACTTCCGCAAACATGGTCCTGACACTTTTTGAAAACCCCCGTCTAATTTATAAACCCCCGTTAATTCTCAGAACCCCCTCAAATTTTCAAAACCCCGGTTAATTTTTTAAACCCCCGTCAAAAATTTAAACCCCGTTAATATTTTAAACCCCCGTTAATTGTTTAAACCCCCGTTAAACCATAAAGAGCCAAATTTATTATTAACATTCTAACCAACAAAATAGTTTCAATATTACGATGAACATTTTGGCAGTCTGTTCTGTTTTGAAAATCTGTTTTGAGAAACAAGAAGCATGAACGCAAAGCTGACATTTTGGAGGCCATTCTATCAGAGTGGATTGGTTTTAGTTCCTTGAGTATCTTGACTAAACAGGGAAGATCTCGGTCTCTGGAGAAGATATCAAAGAATAGTCAACTTTAAAATTTTATCATATAATTAATGCAGATTTTGTTATCATAATTTATATTAGATTTGTTGGCTCCAAAAAGTTAGAAGTTACATTTTTTCGAGAAAATAGATAATTCTAGTCAAAATTATGTTTTTTTTCAATATTTTTTACTCTCAAATGATGAAATACAACAATCGCTCAATTTTCACTGCCAACCAGATTATTTTTGCTTCATTCGATACTATCCCACTTTCTTTTTCATTGCTGATTCAACGTCTCTCAACCTTCCTGACAAGCTTAATTGTGGTACACTGGAAGTGAGACAACATGATACGAATACAAATTCAAGCGAACATCGTGAAAAAAAAACAAACGACTTGAGCTTCATCAAAATGCGTTTTGCGTTTGTGGTATTGTTAACTCCCATTCCTAGTAATATATAAAATTGGTGGTGGGAGTTTAGTGGGTAGGGCTTTAAACAACTAGAGAATGCTCTTTAGTTAAAATTTCCAAAATTCGAAAATTATCGTAAAATTATCGTACGATACCGGTCAATAAAATAAACAAAAAATATTTTTCATTTGATATTCGGCCATTTTTACATTTTTCATAAGTCTGGAGCTCGGCTAGCCAGTTTCCAAACACTTTCAAATATTAAAAACTTTGCGATCACAGATTAATTTTTTGAAAATTCCTAGTTTTGTAGCTATTTGGCGATTTCTGAGAGACACCCGTTTTTTTCACGTTTTTAGTACAAAAACGGGCCACAGTACTATATTTGATATTTGTAGAATCAAGGATTGTCACGCTGAATCTAGGCAAATCTTACTTCAAATGAATCTTTCAGAAAATATTCTCTTCTTTTTTGCGATGATATCCTGAGGATGAAAACGCTCATATCGATTTCGTTTTGTGAATTATGTTTTGTTCATGCTCCGAATCTTGTAAGTTGCGTGCATCATTTTACGAACAACGTCTGCGGAATTTTAATTTTTTGGTTACTCAATTTTCTGGGCGGAGTTTGTTTACAACGACCAGCTACTTCAAGCTATACAACACGTGGGAACCAAAAATTTCCATTTCTCCATTCTTGCTAGTTTTCTACCCAAAAAAATCTAAACATGTCCCTCCGACTTGTTGCAGTTATACTGCTTCTTTGCTTCGTGGCTGGTGAGTCAAGGAGGAAATTTGTAGAGTATATCACTTGACACATGTGCTTCCTTATAGGACGAAATGTGTCAAATGAAAAAGTTAAACTTGTAAAGTGAAAATCTAATTGAAAATTGTTTCAAGTGACGTGAAAAAAATAGTACTCGTTCAGTTCAGAGACAAATAAAGTTTGGTCAGAAATTCATCAAGACAGAACATTTTCAGAGATGAGCACCAAATTCCTTGCTATGATTAATCAACCCGACGTAGTCCCTGACGACGTCTTAGAAGTTGAACAAGAACGTCAGATGTGTTTCTGCTGCCGTGCGTTCGTCTGTCGACATCAAACTTGTCCTTGTTCTCGATTTACAGAGCTATTTTGACAGTGTTTATAACAGTTTCCATGTTGTTTGATCTTTCAAAACCTAATCTCAATAAATTATCTGTATTTTCTGTTTTCCTCATTAATGGAGAAGTAAATTGTGCTGAAATACATTTCAGATGAATAATACAAACGAGTACAAATCTAAAACAAGTTGTTGTTGATTTATTAGAAAATTTTCAAAACTCGAGTAGAGAATCACAGTAAAGAATGGATGGTCAGAAAGAAGGACGAATAAACTAAAAGTTATTTTTCATACCATACAAAATCTCATATTTGAGTCAGGATCTACAAGATGAAGCCTACAAAACTGGAAAAAAAATGGAATTTCGCTAATGAAGAAAGTTAAGTTACGTAAAGAATTAATAATTCGGAAATCTTGGAACAAAGTTATGAGAACTTGGCTATTTTTTCTTCCGTTGCTTTCGACGTCGCTGTAATGCGGCTGCAGTTTCCATAGCTATCGTTGCAGTGACTTCCTCCAAGAGCGCATTCTCGCGAGCCTTTGCAGTTCTACCTTCCTTTTTCATCTGGGATTCATCTAACAGAAGCTTCCTTTCTTGGATCAGAGACATATACTGTGCCATCGTGTCCTTGCTTGCTGGAAGAGCTTTGACCAACTTCATTTCAGCCTCGACTTCAGCCAGCGTGCGATGACCAGGGGCGGGAACTTTTTCTTCCTCTTTTTCCTCTTCACTCAAGCTGAAAAAAACAGCTATTAGTTAAAAACTGGTTTCTACCAACTTACTCAAAAAGGAAATCGTCGATATCATTTAGATCAATATCAGGCAAATATGTGTGAACTTTTCTCAGCCATCGGAGATTTGGTGTATGCTGAAATGACAAATTGAAGGTTGGATGCCTTTGGAGAAATAAATCTTACCTCTTTTCCACACCCACATGGCACTTTACCGTACTTTCGCAAGTAAGCAAGCTGCAATGTGCACCATTCTTCCTGGCGCCTTACTCTGCAAAATTCAGAAAAATCCTGAAGCAGTTCTTTCTGATGAGGGCTGTCTGGCTCCAAGAAAAGTGTTCTGAATTCCAAGTGTATTACTCCACTATCAACTTTGCGCGGTGGATTCTTCAAACGTTCTCGCTCTGTTTTCCTGTCGATCTTCCTCTGGATCTTCTCAAGCCGTCGGTACATCATCCGACATGCCCAAATTTCATCTGGATCTGTCAAGGCGTTGGCGAATATGTTCATTATGTACTGAAAATGAATGCAATGTGAATGGGTAAAGACTTTGGACTTACAACTGGTTTAATTCGGCTAATTTTAACGCTCTCCCAGTATTGAGTATCACAGACTATCTGAAAAATGAAATAATTGAAACTAAAAATTATAGATTTCATATTGCGGAACATCTTCAGGTATGTGTGAAAAAAACCGCGCTACACATTGATGCTATTTGAAAATCAATCGAAAAGAATAAAAGAGAAACAAAGCAGATAAAAAGTGCATGATTGTATTGCCGGCCTCTGCTGGCCGACAAAAAGAGGGGTTAGAGAGTATGCATGGAATAGTGCATGGTATCAAGAGGGCGGGAGAGGTGAGAGACGTAGAATTAAATTCTGTTGGCTCGTTCACTTTTTTTCTATACATGACCACTGTTGAAGTGAAACTGGTTTTAGTTTCAAAAAATTTGCTGGTAAAAATAGAGAGGCAGAGAAATTCAGAAGAGTGATCTGTTGAGTAAACTCAATGTAGAAAAAAACAGATACAAATTCTGAACTGTACTTTATTGTCATTGATTCAAAAAGTTAAAAGAATTTACATAAAAATTCTTGGAAATCTTTATACTTGACTTAAGGAAAATCAATTGGCTCAGATCTTAGTTTTGTAGCAAGCAGCGGTCTGAATATGCTATGTTTTTCCATTAAGCGGTTGCTCCTGGTTACATGGAGACAGCTAAGCAAGAATGCTTTTTTTTCTCTTACTCTCTTTTTCCTTCCTGAAGAGAATTCCGTAGAGATATACGGGGAAAAATCGTGGAAATTTGGTTATTGTCTATTCAAAATAATCGCGCGGGTAAACGAGTAAAATTGTCTGCGTCTCTACAGCGCCTCTACAGGTTTGGAGACTCTCTTCACGTTTTTTACTCGTTCACCCGCGCGATTATTTTGAATAGACAATAGTTCAAACTCGAAATGCATGATCATAACGCAATGAATCAGTAGAAATTTACTAGATTAGAGGGATTGAGAGATTACATAATTTTTGGTTTTTATGAAACTGCAGACACAGTTTTCAATAATAATTCTTGGTATTAAATTTTGGAGAGAACCTCAAACAAATTGTGAACAAATTTAGGTATCTAAAATAAGAATTTGGACTTGTTTTATTTTCCTTATGGCACGTTCAAAGTTGATTTCCAGGAAATTACTCCTGGAAATCAACTTTGAACGCGACATTATGGGCGTGGTCTACGCATAACACCGGACAGTAATCATTTCAAAAAATAAAACGACTGTTCTGAAACTCTGCTCTGTTCCACACTATTTCTGCCAACAATAAGACTGCGAGAAAAAGGAAACAAAGTTCTTTGCAAGAATTGACCAGTGGATGATTTGTACGAAAAAAACCTCTAGGTTTTGATCACTTAAAAAGGTTAGCTATTGGTTGACTGGAGTGCTTTCTGAACTTATGTTTTTCAGTTTTCAAAATTGCTGAAAATTATGAAAAATATATTTTCTTGAAATACGAAATTTCGCAGTATCGTTCCCTGTAAATTTAAATACAGCGTGTAATGGTTTATATGTAAAAATGATAGTTTCATTCAGAATTAAAATTGCGAAAAAGCCATTTAAAAATTAGAAAAAAATCACTGCCAACCGCTCTGCTAGTTCCCACTCAGAGAAAAAAAAGTATCATCGATAAATTCTCGGTCGAAATGCGAATAATCTATGTCTTATCGAGTTAAACAACCTTGAAAATTTCTTTCCGTCGGTAACGCGTAGTGTCCTTCGGTGAATGATGTATTGGAAAACTGTCTTTTCGTGAAAACAGAAAGGAAGTAATTATATTGAATGGATAGAAATCAAGAATTTAACCATGGCAAACAATGCACCAGAGAAACTGTGCTGTTTCTGCGTTTTTCTCGATAGATATCTGACAATTTTTTTTGCAGGAAATCGGTTGATTGTGAGAGGAATACTCCAAAATGAGAGAAGTGTCTTAGAAAAATCAGTCGAAAATGAAACAATACTTTTCTGAAACGGGATAATTATTATCTATAGCAGGGGTTTGCGGAACGGGATACCGAGGATTTCAACAATTTTGGGAATGTACGGAAGTAATTGAAACGGAACAGGCACCGTGGTTAGTGTTACAGGAAGTTTCAAAATGTTAGAATATTCTGCATAATAATTCATCGTCAGTTGCGGATTGTATCATTTCAAAACAACTGTTTTGAACAAAATTCATTTCGGACTCACAGTTTTTGAGAGCTTCTGTCTAGAATTCAAAAATTTCACATTTTTCAGGGATTTGCGGACCGAAATTCTGAATTCCAAAAATTCCGAATCCTTCAAAATCAGAATGTGTCGATATTTCGTAAACCTGAAGTTTTTAAAAGCGGTGTATTCCGAGAGAGAGAGAGAGATTCCCAAAAAATCCGAAAAGACCATTCCGAACATCCTTGATAGCTTTGATATCTCCAGATCCGAAAATGGACCCATATTTCATGCTTTTACCCCATTCGATTATTAGAAACATCAAAATGATATACCTATTTAAATTTATTGCAGATATCCGAAAATTGCCCATTTCCGTGTTCACACTTTCCACCCTCGCATGCCCTATTTTCGGACCCTAAAAATGACATCACTGAACTCAGAATTACCAGAACTCACTTAAATGGGCGTGGCTTGTTTCTTCAGAACAAGGATCTCTGAGTTGACAGAAAACGTTTTGAACTGAACTCGAAGAGTCACACCCCCTTTTTCGACTACTTTAACTTCTCCCTTCCAAGAAGCTACTTAGATTCGGTTTCTTCGAGAAATCTTATATCTTCAATTATGCCAAGTAAATTGATCGCGCTTCTTCTTCTGATTTGTATGGTTTCCGGTGAGTATTTATGACTTATTGAGATGGGAAGTTCAACTTTTTGAGTATTTGCAGTGATCTTTCTGTTGTGTTACTTTCCAGTATGGAATTATCACATTCCACAGCACAGTTTTTGAAACAACAAATTATGAACTTTTGAAATATTAGTTTAAAACGGTTAATCAATTTGAAACGATCAACAAGTTATCACAATTTCATGTATTTCTGTATCTTGAAAATGAAATCTGTAACTTGATGAAATCGTTTTTCAGTTGCCTGCAACAAGTTCGTCGCAATGATTGATCAACCTGTAGTTGATCCGGAAGAGACAATCGACCTGGAAGAGGACAAAAAAGTGTGCTTCTGTTGCCGAGCATTCGTTTGCCGCCATCAATTATGTCCATGTTCTCGATTCACCGCTCTATTCTGATTTTTTCTTTCTTGAATGAATTTGATTCAAAGTGGCTTTTTCCTATAAAACTCGAAGAGAAGTAGCCAGCTCAACCCATCCGAAATATTATCTACGTCACTCTCTGTGTTGAGATTGATGGACCCATGGACCTATATACTGGGCTCGTTGTTTCTTCCGCATTTCCCGTCCATCAGTATCTAAAACGAGGGGGCCGCCTCGGTCACTTGGGATTAACTAGAAGCGTGATTGAGACAAAATGTAGTATTTGCATCACAAAAGATGTCCGTTCAAAAATAGTAAAACTCAAAATAAGACGTCATTCTTTGGGGAGAGGAAGAGGAAAAAAATAAGCGTTTCTAAAACAATACAGGGACAAAAATTTCGAGATCGAAAACCAAATAACTAAACTTGAGTATAAAAACAGGGGGAGATAAGGGTGTTCATCAATACAATATAAAGCTAATATAGCCAATGGCGGTGCAGAAACTGAGAGAAAAAAAATGCGAGATGATTGAAATTACTGAGCTGTTGTATTCATAGGAATGACCACTTCTGCTCCCTGGGTAGTATCGGTTGTTGGAACTCGTTGACGTGGATTGTTCACGAAATGCTGAATCCAATCCTGTGATTGTTGCATTTGCTCGGCGAACAGGCAGTACATAGCTCCAACGAATGGTAGGAGACCGCCGAGGAAGAAGATCCAGCATCCAGCTCCGATTTGATGAGAGTACTGAAACATTATTAAAACTTTTAGTTATTTCTGAATTTTTGAATTCGACACACTTCAAATTCAAATGTTAAAAGCTTTTGTTCCAATCTATTTTTACAAAATAGTTCTAAAAATACAAGAATTCACGCCTGATTGACTCGTGAGTGGATTCAGGTAAGTGTGAAAAAGCATGTTTACTTCTTTTCTTCAATTTTGGAGGGAAGTAAAACGCATTTATGTCTACATCCGGTATCAGAAAATTCAAGCAAATTTCAAGAAAATTTCAGAAATTTTTAACTTACATCTACCTCCTGTTGGGACCGGTAGAGAATTTGGTCGGTGAATGTCTCATAGACAAAGACGAAGAAGAGAATAATCCAGAGACCAACTGAAAAAAAAAGAATTGTGAAAATGAAGTCATCAAATATTTACCTGAAACCACCATAGCATGGAACATGACGAATCTGTACTTCTCGAAGCCTTGGCAGAATTTAATGCTGCAACAGTGTCCGATGGTGTAGGCGAGCCAGAAACCTTGGGAGAACATGATAATGATAGCGATGCAGTGTGCGACATGGATTTCTAAGAAAACAAAACAAATGGAAAATTATTAATATGAAAAGTTACCAATTGAAGCATCTTGAACATTTTGAAGACTTGGTGGGAACTTCTCGGCCTTATTCTCATATCCCCATGGCAAGCAAGTGATGTTCTCCGGGCGGTACGTCTTGTAGCAGTCATGACCTCGAACTCCTCTCTGAAATTAATGTTTTTAAGAATGCAGATTTCAACAATCTGACAATATCTCAATCATTGTTTGTCGTTCAAATTGTTTTTTCTGAATCTTTGTTTCACAAACTCAAGACTGATATAAGATGTTGTTATTTTTGAAATTTTTTAATGGGGTTATTCATGTAGCGAAAGTGTGTACTTCAAAACACATTTCAATACATTTCGGTGGCACCGAATTCTGAAAATCTATAAAGAAGATATTTTAGGATTTTGAAAAGCTGTGGTCTTGAATTTTTAGGGATTCTGAAGTTCGGATGTTTTAAAGGTCAGAAAACAAATTTGATATTTTGTAATTTTTAAATTAAATAAATCCGAATTCTCGAAATGTATTAAAGCAATCTAAGATTACAAGTACTCAAGGTTCCGAAAGTCTGGAATTCTAAATATTCAAGATTCTGAAAACCTAAAACTCTAAGAAACAAAGATTCTAAAAGCCTCAGATTTCAAGAACTTACTGTTCCGAGAATTTAAAATTTTGAGTAGAGATTTTGATAACATAGCATGATATTGAACTACAGAAAGCAAATAAGTCCGTTTTCAAAAATTTTTTGAAAACTTCAATAGAACTTCTAGAAGGTTATTTTTATTTTCGAGATTCAGAATCTGAATTTTTTATTTGAAAATTTTGATTTTTCCGAATACGAACAACTTCTTGTTTAAAAAATTCAAAAAGCAATAAATCCTGTTAATTTGTGACAAGTCAGCTGAATTCTAATTTTTGTTCAGCTTTTAAAAATGCTCACCTGGAATTCATCCATCGCTTTTGTCCTCTCCATTACCACCCACGCATTGTTGGTATACCCGAAAGCCGTCATCGCCAGAGAAAACACCAGAAATCCAACAGACCCGACATATTTCAGAATTTGAGGACTCTCATTCTCATCTATGCTCCCCGGCATGTTCTCTGTAATTAGTGGTTTCATGAAAAGTGTGTAATTAGGCAAAACGAAAAATGAATATAGATATCGAACAAAAGCACGAGGAAGAAAGCAAAGTTTGGAGGATCAGAGAAAACAAAGCGCAAGAATTCTCAAGGGAGAAAGTTTGCGTTTTGACGCCAGATAAAATCATTCAACATTTTTGGGATGAGAATGAGTGCTGGGTGCTTAAATATGTATGAATGAGTTTCGTGTACCTCAACTCCGATTGGCTTTGAAGAAAAATCGCCAAGACTATATCATGGTCCTCAGTTACTAATTCAGAAGGCAAGGATAACTATACATTCACATATACCTGCGTTCTCCATTTCTCTCCATCTCTCATTCCTCTCTGTTGTTAGATCGTATTGTCATCTGTCGTGGAAATGTGGGAAAACGAGATGGAGGAAAAGAGACAGTAAGAAACTCTGCTATCTATATCTCGGAAACACTATTTCGTATTGTGTTTCTGCATAAACTTCAATGAATCAACAATAGATGCGCGGAATGGAAGAGGATGAGTTGATGCGAGAAAAAGAAAGGGAAGATGCATCAATTTGGAAGGCAAGGACGTCAAGTCAATATGTTGAAATTAGACGATTAGAAGTATCTAACAGAATACCAATCAGAATGGAACGATTTTCATTTTTCTCAGACAGCAAAATAGTTTACAAGATTTCGAACGGAGCAGGTGAATCATTACTGAAGCAGGTGAGTTTAAAATGCTAAGAACATCAGTGTGTAATTTTTCTGCCGCCCGCAATCTTATTTCACAATCAACAGCTCGCTCATCTCACTCTCTCAATTGTCTCTTAGCCCAATTCGCAGATGTAAAAACCCAAAGAAAACAGCTCATTTTTTCATTAAAACAAATAACTAACAAATCAAGAAGCTGCCCCGGTTTTCTTCAATGTTTGGTTTGGAAGTGCTATTTTTCACCGAAAAAAGAAAGAAAGAAAGAAAAAGGAATTTATGAATCATGTACTACTCGACGAGAGAAGACAAGAGGAAGATGTGACCGGCGGCGCGAGAAGAAGGTAATCGTGTTGGCTTCCCCCACTTCTTGAGAAGTCGAAAAGCAAGTGGTTGCTATAGTAGCCGTGGGGCAAAGTGTACGTTGGGACAAGAGTGTCCAGCAAAAAGTGTCTTTGAGTATTGACATTTTGTCGAGAAGGAAGTGGGGAAGAGAAAGCACTTTTCGACAGAGATATATATCTCGGTCGTGAGAGCATGCGTTTATGGAACTTTTCGTTGATTGAATTCTTTGTGGTATATTTTCAGAATGTATCATCATTTTCAAACTTTTTTGACAGAAACAATTTCGTGGGTGGATAAAAATTGAGGAATGGAGACATGGGATGTTGAAGAGAGCACAAAAGATCGTTTGGGGTCGTAAATAGCACCCATTTGTGCAATTTGGGCACTTTTTATGGGCCGAAAATGGTAAATTTGAGGAGAAAGAGAGGAACAGATATCATTAAACGTATCACGAGATGGTCAAATTAGTTGAAAATTTAAAAAAAAACGTGGAAATGTTGGAAAAGGTATACATGTTTCCCACATGAAAACTGGAACTAAAAAAGACTTTTTAAAATTTGAAGAGAAGGTTAACAAAGCTGCGCAAAAAGTACAACAGTGAATATTTATCAATTCTCTTACCGGGACTAAGAAAATTATTTCGGCCTGGCATCTGATTTTCACAAAATCACCACCTCAAACATTCATTAAAATGTTTTACTCTTGCTCGAAATCAATGCACGTTGATCGCGAAATCTCGTTTAATTATTCTTAAAAACGCGAGATCAAACTACTATATCTTTCGGGCCTTTTTTGAATAGTTTTTTTTATTAAATTTTCGGCGATTTTGACCGTTTTAATAATGGAAAAAAAAACTATGAAAACCGTCAACAAATTGCGAAAATACAAAAAAATTACAAAACAAATCTATAAAAATACGGTAGTTTGTTCTTTTAAAAATTCAAGAGGTATCTGCTCTCAACCTATTTTTCTTATGCAGCAATAATACATATCATACCCAGATCGGGTATAGAAATAGTCTTCCGTCTTCATCAGCTGATTTTTGGAAAGTTTGAAATCAAAAAGAATTGTTGCACATTCATTTATAAAATGAAAATTGAAAGTTGAAATTTTAATCCGATAGGACCGGTACAAAATAAATACAAATTCGGTTCAGCCCGTGACAAGTTTGTCAAATGTGAGCCCAATCAAAAAAGCAGAAACCATTTTATACAAATATTCTTCCTTACTATTTTAGCTATCAGACCATTTTTCCAGTCCTACCCTAATTTAATTAGTTTTAACAGAAATTAGTACTATCTAAATACACTGGCGTCTCTTCGGTAAAACGTAAAATGAGGAATAAACACACCGAGATGTCGAATATGTGATAGGAAAGCGTAGAAATCCCGTGCACACCTCTTCCCCCTCTCAACAAACATTTCCGCTTCTAACATGACGACATTTGGTAATAAATGAGAACTTTCTTCTCCATTTTCTTGGAAAATCAGTTGAAATCAGCATACGCTAATGAATAAGAAAACGAGATGTTGTGTCCGAGAGTGCCCTCTCAATGCTCGTCTTCTTTTTTCTTCATTCTATCGCTTCCTGAAAAGCCAAAACCTAATGAAAATATTTCTTTTCCGTGGTCATCAAAATGAAGAGGAGGCGAAAAGGCGTTGAGGCAAGCGAGAAACGAGAAAACGTCTTTATTCTGTCTTCTTTCGCTGAGAGTTGCCAAAATTGACACAATAGTCAAATGGCCACAACAAGCTGCACAAGGACCCAACAAAGTTTTGAGGAGACGGGAGGAGGAAAAGGGGTAATCAATTCAAGACATGCATGAATAAGGGATAGAAAGAAATCTTGAGGTTTTCGAACTTTACGAAAAATTTGGGAGAATATTTTATTAAACAAAAATCTTTATTAAAAAACGGTCAGATTAAATTTAAAGATTTGGCATATCCTGAATTTCGACATATGTTGGAGTGGAGTAGATAGTGTATCCATCGCGAATTCCATATTCACGGAGTGGCTTAGAATCTTCCAGATGAGTAGCTGAAAACTTGTTTGGTTTTTTTTCTTTTTTTAAATTTCAATCCCTCACTTCCAAATACAATCCACTGAATTTGTGATGGGACAGTTGTGAGTTCCTCAATTTTCGATTTTGCTTCAGCAACTGTAGCATTATCCCCGAGATTCAAATCGATGGTATGCCCAGCATACTTGCGAGTTTTGTTGTAAACTATAGCCTTGATGTGCCTGAAATTTTACTTGAATATTTTGAAAATGTTTTCGTTTTCAACTTACATAGTGTTTGTGGGCGCTCGATTCACAAATTCACAAAGCGACCTTGTATTTATACGGTTTCTAAGTAGCATCCATTTTGAGACAATTCAACATTGTTTGTCCGCAATTATCTCCCTCTTCTCCTCCGCATAGAATTTCAACCAATTTAAGGGCATCGCAAGGAAAAAAATTTCTTATACACTATTAGAGAATAATTTTTAAAATTTTTATTTATCGATTTTTGAGAAGAAGAAGAGGAATTTTCAAAGTACACAGTGTATTAATCAAACAATTAATAATACACAACTAAGATTTACAGGAAAATTTTGACAACAGCGACAACAAACATAGATAGGGAAACTGAAAGAATTCTAGATGACTTGGTGGAGGTGGCAACGGTTGGGGTAGTTACTACAGTGACTGGAGAGGCTGTTGGTGGTGCTGGTGGAGCGGTGGCAAGTGGTCCGGTGCCTTGTTCCTGAAAAAATTTCGAATTGTTTTGACCTCTACCATTTCACAAGTAAAACTTACTGTATACTGTGCAAGTAGTGGCTGGCGAAGCATGCTAACTTGAATGGTAGTGTTGTAATCTCCTTGTCCATGAACAAAGTTGTTGATCATTTGAAGAACTGGCCCTGGACGATCAGTTGGAGACATGTGTCCGGCTCCCTTGACAGTCAACAAGTCAATTGTCATGTTATTCTTTTGGAACTTCTGCACGTATCCTCCGATTTGTCCTCCATACATCCAGGCTCCTCTTGGCTGGTTGGAAACGAATTGTTGGTTCTTAGCAAAGTTGTTAACCATGGATCCAGCTTCGAACATCGAGCAGACTGAATCAACGTCTCCGTTGTAAAGAAGAACCCTGAAAGGTTAGTTTTAGTCTATGCTGTCAAGTTTATGTCTTACTTCAGGTTATATCCACTGTTCAAAATGTCAGTGAACACTTGAGTGGTGTCATTGTACAAGTTGGTGTAGTTGAGCTCACTGAACATGAACAAACACGGTTTACAGTCATACGTTCTTGTTACTCACTTGCAGAAACTCCATCTTTGAACGACGTCCGGAATGTGGAGAGCGTCACGAACATGTGGCAAGGACAAGTAGTTGTCAGAAGCAACACCACTCCAGCATGAATATCCTCCAGTGGCATCAGTAGACAATGGGTCTTGGGCAGCGGTCTGGAGAAACAATATTTAAATCTGATTACTCTATAACTCCGAGATTACCTTAGTAATAGCTTGTGGAATCACAGTCTTTAGTCTACGCTCAATGTCAAGTCTCGAGATTTTTTCATTCTCAGCGAATGGTCCTCCTTGTCCTCTTGGAACGGCGTAACAGTCTTGATAGAGGTTATATTGATCGTACATGGCCTTCCAGTTTCTGTCATAGGACAGTTGTTCAACAAGGTTAGCGCAGTTTTGGAGGGTCTGGTTGTTGGGGTAGCCCTTAGCCTTAACGTTGACTCCTCCGTCAATGGTAATGTATTCATCGTAGTTGCAGTCATAGGAGACATCGTTAGATGGACAGCATGCACGAAGTTGCTCCCATTGTCTGAAAATAAATTTATTTGTATTGAAAATCGATTAAATGTAACATACGGCTTATCATAAATTCCGTGGAAGTAGAGGAAGTCTGGAAGGGTTCTGACATCGTTGACAGCGCTCACCATTCCGTTTCCGACAGCCATACCACGGAGCTTGATGTTGGAAACTCTAGCCTAAAGCATATATTTTTTAAAAAATGTATTCGATATTTCGAATTTTACCTGAATCTTCTGGATGAGCAGTCTTGTCAACGTTGGAACATAAACACCACCATACGATTCTCCTGTGATGTACAATTCGCTGTTTTGGTGTGGAGGGTAGGCGGCAAAGAAGTCCTCAAGAGCAGTGTAGGTATCCAAAGCTGTCTTGTCATCATCCCAGAGAGTATCATTGTTAACACTCTTATCTTGGTAAGAGAATCCGACTCCTCTTGGAGAGTCGATAACCAAAATGTGAGCAGCCTTATTCCATGAGTATACGTTTTCGAAGAGTGTTTCTCCATCTGGGTTAACAAAGAATGGTCCGATCTCGCTGAGAAGTCCTCCTGTCGAAGCGCATCCTGGTCCTCCTTGAAGCCAAAGGATGATTGGATCTCCCTCGTTTCCGGATTGAGACTCAACAAACCAGTAGAACAATTTGTTTCCAGCAGAAGCTTGAAGATATCCAGAGTGTTGATTGAAGTTGACATTCCATGTGGCTCCTGGGAGGGAGAAGATATGATCAGCCATTCTCCGTTTGACAGTCACTGGTGCTGGTTGATAAGCAGGGAGGAGTGACTTGCGAGAATAGTCCAATGTCATGTTTCTATTGTAGTCATAGCTGTTAACAAAGTTGTAAATCATTTGAAGAGCTGGTCCTGGCGATCTTGTGGTACGAAATGTCCGGCTCCCTTAACAGTCAACTGATCAAATGTAACTGTCGCTTTTCCCTTGTAAGTGAATTGCTTCCAGTATCCTCCAACACGTGGCAAGAACTGATGTTGCGTGTAGTTCCATGGTGAGTGTTGATGGGTCACATCCATTTTTCTCTCCTTGGCAAGACTCTCCATGAACCATTGGTCTCCAAGGAACTGACAAGCCATATCAACGTCTCCATTGTAGATCAAGAATCTAAGTGGGTATCCACTGTCCAGGATGTCTCTGAAGACTTTGGTAGTGTCGTTGTGCTGTTGGATGTAGTTCTCGTTCATAACATCATTACAATCAGTCCAGTGTCCAAGGCTAGTTGGGATGTGGAGAGCAGCACGAACCTCTGGAAGGTTCATGTAGGATTCGGAAGAAGCTCCAGAAAAACAAGTGAATCCTCCATTGGCATCAGTGGACATGTAGTTGATTTTCTTCTGCAAGTAAATATTTTGCAACAATAGCGTTACGATAAACTTACAGCTTGGTCCACGAACAATCTCGATGGGAGGAATGGTGAAACATTAGCATCTCTCTTGGATCTTCTTCTGTTTTGTACTCTACGAATACCCTCGGAAAGTTCGGAAAGTTTCGAATCTCCGGCTGGTGGGGCGGCATAACAATCGGCAAAGGTGTTGTACACATCGTTGCTGAAATTCGTTTATTTAAGTTTTTTCTTTGAATTCGATCGCACTCAGTGGTCCAGACGTCAAGGAATCCTTGTTGGGTGACGAGAGCTCCACATTGAGCAGCAACCGAGCCGTCGTTTAGTTTTGGAGAAACGTTTCCAGAAGTGTCGATGTTGATGTATTGGGTGTAATCGCAATAGGTTTGTGTAACCGAGTTATTGCAACAATTTGAAATAGCATCCCAGTCGCTAAAATTACTCATTAGCTAGGCAAAAATGATATACCTACGATTTGTCGTGTTCTCCTCTGAAGTAAAGAAGGGATACAGCGGAGTTGATTTGCTGGATTCCTGAGAGCTCTCCGTTTCCGATGGCTACTCCGGCGAGGTTCACTCTGAGAAGGGTCTTAGACTGAAATTATTTCGGTTAAAATTGAAATTCGTAAACTATTTTTGTGACCTGAATAGCTTGAATGATGGCACGCGTGAGAGTTGGAACGTAAACTCCTCCGTATGATTCTCCTGTGATGTAGAATGAACGGTTTTGGTATTCAGGGAATTTGTTGAAGAAGTTGCCCAGAGCGATGACAGTGTCAGAAGCGGTCTGTAAGAACAATCAATCATTTTATGTTCTGAAATAGGGCTCACTTACATATGTGTCATTGTACATAGAGTCAGGTGAGTATTCGTTACTGCGATAGGAGTATCCCACATCTCTTGGAGCCTCAAGGAACAAAACGTTACCGGCCTTATTCCAAGAGAATGTGTTCTCAAACAGTGTCTTCCCGTCAGCGTTAACATGGAATGGTCCAAGTTCCTCGAGGAATCCTCCGATGGAAGAGCATCCTGGACCTCCGTTCAGCCAGAGAATCAGAGGATCGTATGATTTGTTGGTTTGAGATTCAACAAGCCAGTAGTGAAGGTAGTTTCCAGGAGAAGCATTCAAATATCCAGAGTATTGTTTGAAGTTTGGCGTGAACGTCAATCCAGGCAGATTTGTAACCTCGTCTTGATCTTTAGTTTGCGATGGTGGTGGTGGCGGGGCATCACGTTCGATTGGTTTTTTGAGAGATTCAGTACGGATAACTTTATGAACCTTGGTATGAACTCTGTTTCCATTAAAACTGATTCCAGAGGTCGAACGGTTGAGAGATGCAGACAATTGTTCTGCTACAACGTAGGTCTTCAACAGTGGATGGAGGGAACTATCTATGACTGTTGGATTACTGTAGTCCTGGTTACGGAAGAAGTTAGCAATCATTTGAAGAGCTGGTCCGGGTCTATCAGTTGGTACCAAGTGCCCAGCACCCTTCACAGTAATCAAGTCGATAGAGAATCCAGCGTTGTTATCGAACTTTTTGGCATATCCAGCAATTTGGGTCATGTATCTCCAATCAGCACGTGGCTTGGTGACTGGAAGATTGTTGGTTGTAGCGAATGCCTCAATGAACCATTGGTCTCCCAAATAATTGCAAGCCTGGTCAACATCTCCGTTGTAGATAAGAACGCGGAGTGGGTACTTGGAGTCGAGGATGTGTTGGAAAACGGAAGTGGTGTCATTGTGTTGTTGAACGTAGAGTCCGTTAATGGTATCACTGCATTTTTCGATAGTTAGTAAACAAATTATTCTGTAAAGTAACTTACTTGCAAGCAGACCAATCTCCGGCAGCAGAAGAGACGTGCAGAGCGCTGCGAACATCTGGAAGATTGATCCAGCTGGCGGCTTGGGCGGTTCCGTAGCAAGCAAGTCCTCCTTGATTATCCGTAGATGAGGTGGAGATTTTGGCCTGAAACAATGAAAATTATCTCATAAAGTTCATTTGATCCCTCACTCCTTGATCGACGAATCCCTTCATATGTCTTTTCTTCTGCTCAATGGTCATTCTGGATCCGAAAGCTCGGGTAGAATCTTCATAGCAGTCTTGATAAATGTTGTACACATCATTCAAGCTAGACCAGAATCTTGCTTGTCCGAGGTCAGCAACCTTGTTGGCACAGAAAGAGTTGTCGATTGGGTTAGCGGTTCCGTCAGGTCCAAGATGGATGTACTGAGCAAAATTGCAGTACTCAAACCATTGAGAGCTAGTCTTGGTTTGATTGCAGCACTGTTGGAGAGAATCGAAGTCACTGAAAACCATACTTTGTGAAATTTCAAATTTACTAAGAACCCCTACTCCTTGCTGAAGAGTCCGTGGAAGTAGCTCATCATGATGGCAGAGTTGAATTGTTGAACAGCCGACAACTCTCCGTTTCCAATGGACATACCAACCAAGTTCAGTTGTGGGAAATCTCCAGACTGTAAAAAATCTGTTATTTCAGGATTGTGGGGGTCTTGTATGTTTCACCTGGATTTTGTCAATGAGAAGAGAAGTGATGGTTGGGACGTAGACACCTCCATATGATTCTCCAGTAACGAAGAATGGTCGGTTGATGTATTCTGGATAGACAGTAAGGAAGTCTTTGAGAGCAAGGTAGGTGTCGGTGGCAGTCTGAAAATTGTATTTGTGAAAATTTTTAAAAAATCATTGGCTTTCTCACTCTCGCATCATCCCAGATAGTGTCATTATTCAAACTTGGATCTTGAACTGAGAATCCAACTCCTCGTGGAGACTCCAAGAAGATCACATTAGCAGCCTTGTTCCATGAATAAACGTTCTCGAAGAGTGTCTTGCCATCAGGATTTGGATGGAACGGTCCCAATTCTGTTAGCATAGCCATAAGTCCAGAGCATCCTGGTCCTCCGGTGAGCCACAAGACAAGTGGATCAGTGGTTGGATTTCCTTGAGACTCGACGAACCAATAGTGAAGGTAGTTTCCAGTCACTCCGTTCAAGTATCCAGAGTACTGCTTGAAGTTGAGTCCATAAGTGAGTCCAGGAAGGTTATAGACTCTATCGGCTTGCTTGCGAGTCCCTGAAGTTTCTTATTCCATCTACTTTTTACTATTTCTTCAATCAAAGATGACCATTTTCGCACACTCACCTACAGTTAGGAGAATGTTGATAAGAGTTTACATCATCCTCTAAATTTGGTAACCTTGCGCTGATAAGGTATTTCAGTGAAAGCAAAAAAGAAAAACGAATAAAATAGAAATTTGTTGCGATCGGAATATTTTTTTTGTCATGCCGCTCAAAACCGAAACCACTGATAAGATTTTTGTGATCAACTCAAAAATATCGTCTTCTGCGTCTCTAAACTACAAAAACTTACAGGTTTTTTGTGGTGGCGCTTGGTATTGTGCACGAAGTGGGAGTGCCGTAAGATCATATGGAACTTGGGCGCTGTATCCGTTGTTGTTTCCGTAAAGGAAATTGTAGAACAACTGAAGTGCTGGTCCTGCTCGGTCCATTGGCACCATGTGTCCAGCTCCCTTCACAGTAACCAAATCAATTGTGATCTTGTTATAGCTCCACGATTTAAGGTATCCAGCGAGTGTTGGGGCATAAGTGGATCCAGTTTGAGCGCGAGTGTAGTTCCATTGGGCACGTGGGTTGGTCAGAGTCATTTTGTAGGCATTGTTAGCCAAGTTCTCTACGAACCATTGATCTCCCAAGTAATTACAAGCAAAATCAACATCTCCGTTGTAGATCAGAGCCTTCAATGGGTATCCAGAGTCAATGATAGATTGGAAAATTGGAGTCATGTCTGGGTACTGTTGGATGTAGTACTTTTCATTGATATCATCGCTGCATCCTGCCCATGCTTGGACGTTGGTTGGGATGTGGAGAGCGTTGCGAACATCGGTGCGACCAAGCCACGCAGCAGTGGAATCGTCAGAGTAGCATGGGTAGCTTTGGAGAGCATCAGTAGACATCTTGTTGATCAGCGACTGAAAAAAAAAACATTTGTTTTGGGTCCCTTCTATGTTTCACCTACTCCTTGATCGATGAATGGGTTCACTCCAGTACTGAACAACTGGTACGCGGCGTTGGCTCCGTTGGTAGAAAGTGAAGTTCTCATGATTCTGCGCATAGTTTGCTCGTGGACCTTGGCATGGCGCTCCTCAGCACTTGAGAACATCGAAGCGTCGAAGTTGTAGCAATCTTGGTATGAATTGTAGACATCGTTGCTGGAAAAAGAAGATTTTAAAGTGAAAATCGATTATCTTCTCTACTAAGTTTCCCAAATCGAGTTCAATCCAAGCGCGACGACCATCTTTCCGCAAGCAATTTTTTGAGCATCATTTGTGTCGTTTCTTGGAGCTGGATTTCCATAATTGTCGAAGACTACGAACTAAAAAACTATGCAGATATACAACTACCGCGTTGATTGTAAATCACCTGAGAGAAGTCGCAGTCGACAAGTGGTCCTTGTGGAGAATCTGGGCAGCATTGGCGAAGATTTTCCCACTGTCTGAACAATGAAGAATGTGAGAAATGAGATTTTTCACTCAATAAGACTTGAAATGAGAATAGTCGTCAAGAGGTGTGTTTGCACAATTGTCGTAACCTCTTCTGCATAGTCCGTGGTCCGAGGAGGCAATGCGCGCGCGCATACACACGCATTCACGAGAAATGGTCTTCTCACACATAACATACGAAAAAAGAAAAGAAAAGAGGACTTACGTGGTTCCCAACATTCCTCTGTAGTACAAAAGATCGATTCCAGAGTTTGTGAGCTGTTTGCGGCTGAGAGCTCCATTTCCAACGGCAAATCCTTTCAGGTTGATGTATGGAGTAGTTCCGTTTTGAATCATTTTGACAATGAGATTCGTCAATGTTGGAACATAAACACCACCGTAAGACTCTCCGGTGATGTAGAAGTCTCTGTTTTGGTATTCTGGGAATCTCTGGAAGAATTGAATCAAAGCAAGCGCGTTCTCAGTTGCGGTCTTGTCATCGTTGTAGAGAAGATCTGGAGTGGCAGAGGCGTCTCTGTATGAGAATCCGACATCTCTTGGTGATTCAAGGAAGAGCATGTTGGCAGCTTTGTTCCAAGAATTCACATTTTCAATGACCGTATTATTGTCTTTAATGATTCTGAATGGTCCGTTTTCGCTAAGAAGTCCAAGAAGAGAAGAGCATCCTGGTCCTCCATTGAGCCAAAGTACGATTGGAGCAGTAGATGGGTTGGTCTGCGATTCCACTAACCTAAAACATTCGGCATACAAGATGATTTTTCAATTTTGCTCCCACTACATCAGAAAACGAGTTTCTGACGAAATGAATGATAATGAATTAAAGTTATAATTCGCTGATAACCAATTTGTCAAAATTTTATGTCCTTTTTCCAATTTCATCGTTATCACTACCCTGGGGCTTAAATGATTATTTCATTCTTACGAGAGCTAATCGTTGGGGGATGATTCAAAACTTGGATTCCACAGAAAAAGATGAGGCGCCTGCTTTTATGATTTTCATCTTTTCTTAGTTTTTGAATGTGAAAGCTGAATGGGTTAAAGGTGCCAGGACGGTCAGAAGAGAGGATCCAAAAATAATTAAAGGTTTCTGAGATTTTTTATAAAGAGATAAGAGCCACAACTAATAAATCATGTATAATGATAGTGAAGGCTGTCTGAGAGGACTTCAAAATTTGTGGGCAACGGATCACCAATAGACTGGAGATCACGGAATAAGGAGGCTTCAGCTCACAAAACAAAAATGTAAGAGGGCAAAATAATATCTTTTTTGTTTTATGCAATCCCCAGCAATCCCCAGCAACTCACCAGTAATGAAGATGATTGTTCTGAGATCCATCAAGAAATCCGGAGTATTGGTGGAAGTTTGGGTTGAATGTCAAACCGGGAAGATCGGTAATGAGATCGTCACTTTTGGATACAAACTGTGACGGTGCCGCGAGGGCAGCGCCCAATAGGCAGATAATGCCCAGTGACCGGAGCATTACCGAAAAGTTTTTCGGTGAGCGTCCGAATGAGAATGAGATGCTCCCGTCTTATCAACTTCGCTAGTCTCTCTTTTCACTCTTCAAAATGTGTTTCAAGCTCCGCCCAAACTATAATTTTTGTGGTGAAAGAGCGTCGGTGTACTTCTGGCTCTTTTGCTCTTTATCTACAAAGACAAATGTGTAGTAATAAGAAGACTAAAAACAGTATGGAACATGTATTCATTGTTTTACAAAAGGGTTTTACATCGGATAGCAGAACTGATACAATGCTCAAAACTTGTAAACACAATTGAACAATACACTATGATTTTTACAACATTTGAAAATGTTGTATGGAACAGATACTTCACTTCAAGTTCAGGCAATTCCTCAATCTTTCGAGACATCCAAAAATAGTTGACCTGAAAATGAAAATTTCTTTAAAAATTAGAGTGAGGGAAGTTTTCTTATACCAAAGAGTTCACTGCAGGTGTGATGAATTGCAAATCAAACAATCGTAAAGATGCAATTTTCAATTTTGCAAGCTGAAATTTCCAGACAAGTAGAACTCAAAGTATACAACTAATAAACCTCGGAATTAGCGTAGGCGCACACCATAAACAGTAGTAGAAATGGAGCAACCACGAACGCAAACAATGTAGATGATAGCATTTTTTTCAACGTCAGGAGTAGACAATATGTTATCAAAATGAAACCCAACAGCAAAATGATGGATACCTTCCGGTTGAGGAGAACGAGACATGTGGTGGTATCCTAAAAATAACTTTTAAGGATTCGAATTCTTGAACTTCAATATTTGTTTTTTTCGAAATATTTTTCATCCTCTCTTCTCTTCCTTAGTTTAAAAAATGAACCTTCATCTTCAGTGCCAAATGCTCGTACTCTGTCCTTCCGTTACACTTCTCCAGAAACTTTCTCAGCTCGCCCAATTTCTCGCCGACCCGATAGACGCAATTCGTCCAGATAACAAAAACCACGACGAGTCTCGTTGTTACGACGATGCATAGAATGGTCAGAACAATATCGTACGGCGAGTAGTGCGCGTTGAAATGAAACTGAATGGAGAGCAGAACAAGGGCAAGACCGAAAAGTGCTTGAAGAGTTACGACTGATGTCCTGAAAATTTGTTTTGGGGTTCCAATGTGCTCTATGTTCAAAACCTTTGAAGGGATGCTCTACTATTCCGAATGTCCATCGATGTATCGAAAAATCTGGAGAGTTCATTTCTTGTCACTGTGGTCATAGAAAGACATGAAAACAAGGAAATCGTAGAGATACCTGAAAAATTATAATTTCACGTGCATTTCTGGAGTTCAAAGTCAAATTTTATCATTTGCCACGCGGATCCTTAGACTGATGAAAATGACGATTCAGTTACAAAAATCATATTGCGTTAGCTTTAGTAATCAGTTTCTCGTGTTAACTAACCAAATAAAACTGTTCGATTATTCCAAAATGATGATGGAAACATTAGTATTTGATAAATGATGAGAAGTAGAAAAATTCCAGATAATATTGTTATATAGATAGCGTTTCTCGCAAAGTAAAGAAACAGAATACGAAGAACAGCTTCGGTGATTGCTTTCTCTTGTTCAACATTCAATCCCTGAAATCATACAGTAGAAATATGAATCTTAATAAAAAAAACTTACATGAAAAGTGCAGTGAATTTTTTTCTTCCAATTTTTCAGCATTTTCGCATAACTCGAAGGCATTTAAAAGTTGGTAAGAAAAAAAGTAATGAATGTCGCTTGATTCTCAACGAACCATGTAGAATGCTACACCGGAATTGCGCAATTTGGGCACGCTCACCTAGTGGAATTTATGTTTTTGGGGTTGAAGAAAAGTCTTATTTTTGGGTGCTGTTGGATTTTCTGCTGCTTGAATGTTTCATAATATGTTTTCATTTAAATTTCAAAATTCTAGAAAATTCTGTGATTTTTCGAATTTCGTCTAAAATCCTTGTTGTTTCAAATTTTTCCACAACGACACTCCGTTTTTCGCTCATTTTATCTAACAAAATGTTAGTTAATTCTGTTTATTTAGAATTCTGTTTACAGGCGGATCTATTGCATTGTTAAAACTACCGTATTTGCTGTAATGAAAGCCGTATAAGTGCATTTTGACCTACATCATCTCTGTTCCAATGAGAGATATCAAAAATTTGTCAACTGAAAAAATATTAGATATTATGAAAATTATGAAAAATAATTTATCAGTTTTTTAGGAATTGGAATAATCTCAAAGTGCACTCATGGGACGTGCTTCTATTAAAGAAAACACGGTTAATAAGAATTGAGAATTCTATACATGGTTTTTCAAAATCAAAATCCAATTTTATGTTTGGAGTGTCTTTCCGAATCGTTTTCTGAGAATTTTTAAATTGTTTTTTTCAAATGTAACAATTCAAACACCAACAGTTCTTTTCGGATACAATTAGCACTATTGTTCCTCGAGGATTCCCTTAATCTCTGTTTGGAAAACTTTTCTGATTACTTTATCCCTTGCTCTCATGTGAATTACTCAGTCAGTTTTTGAACAGCGCAGCTACCAAATAAATGAAATTACGAATCGAATGCTTTTCAAGATGGTCTCAAAAGTTTCAAAAGTCGATTCCTCCCGGAACTCCTGATTCTCAACTTCCCACAGAAAACAATTGTTTAGAATGATGTTATATTCATAGTATGTATTTTAGTTTTTTGTTTGCTCTGATAAGTTTTTGATACTGAAAATATCACTTTTTCGACCAGCCGCCAGAATGAAACCAATCGTCTTAATAACTTTCCCACCACTAGGCGATTTTTTGTACTCTTTGCGTCAAAAAACTCGTGTATCAAAGACATTTTTTATTAATTTCAGTACATATATTCACACTAATCTTGAAGAAGAGCTGGAGTGAATTCAATTCTTTCCATGATGGGGTCGAAGTATGTGCAACGTCCACGGAACAATGGAATACCAAGAATGATTCTGCAAGAAAAATCGACAATTTATAGTTTTGCTTTTTTAAACACTCACTCTGGATTGGCACTTGGCACAACTTGAAGTCTGCAGGCAGATCCAAAAGCATTTGTGACAAGATCTCTCTCAGTGATTTGAATGGTGGTTCCAGAAAGGAATCCAAAGGTAATAGTGACCTTAGTGTCACATGGGACAATTGGTGGGTAGACAGTCACAGTGTTCATGTTGATGCCAATAGAGTCGAGGACCTGGCTAATGTATTGTGATGGCATGGCGAGTTGTCCGGTGGTGGTGTCAAGAGTTGCCTGAAAAACGGAATTGAACACTTTTTAGTTTTCCTATTAGAAATACCTGAATGTACTTGTTTTGGGAGTTGGTGGCGGCCTTTCCGGCAACTTGGAACTTGGACACTGTGACCTGGTAAGTGTAGGCAGAGGAAAGTGAGACGTAACTTGGGTTTGGAGCACAGTGAACTGGATCGAATCCTCCGTAGTAGATAACTCCATGGGTTCCAAGGTCATCAGTCTGATTGAAATGCTCAAGCCAGATGGAGAAGAATGTGTTGGAGATATCTCCCATGCGAACTCCTTGAACAAATGGAGAGTTTCCTCCAATTTGCGATGCTCCGGTGAAAGCCATTCCCAAAACTCCATCAGCAGCTAATCCTTCAATTCCAAGTCCGAGGTCGGTAACTTGCAAGAATTTCAAAGCTGGGATAGTGATCAAGTCAGTTTTGCGGTCTCCAATCTAAAATTCCAAATTTTGATTCGATTAGGAGTTTTGAAATGATAAACTTACGACAGCGGTATCTTTTCCAATGAATCCCTTGAACGATCCAAGGTTGCTCTTGTAGTTGACTTGTTGTCCGTAGGCATAGTAAGAAGAGGAAAGAGATTGGTTGAACTTTCTTTTGTTGTAGCAGTTCAGTTCAGTTTCTGAAAAGAGTTTAGTTCTTCCAAAACACACCTATTATATATTTATCAGTTCGCTTCCTAGTGCACTTTGTCGGTTAGTCTTTAACCGATAAGGAAAATTTAAAAATTGTTTCAAATAAAAAGCGCAAAAATTGTCAGCATTTGCTGACAATTTTGGTCATCAATTGATGATTTTGTACTAGATCTTAAGAAGCAGAATAGTTCAGGAAATCAAATTCCCCTGAAAATTCAGCTAACTTACTGCAAGAAACATCTGGAACAATGAGATCGGCAGTTCTAGTGTCAATAACAACAGTGAAGAGTTGTCCTGGAGTTCCAACAGTCAAGTTGGCCACAAAGTAAAGACCAGTTTGTTCCAAAGTTTGTCCTCCTGAAATTTCAGTTTTTGAGAAATGTTTTCTGGGAAATACAGATGTCTGACGAGTCTGATGCTTCAAAATTATATGTACTGAAAATACATGATTTTGACTTTCAAATCCAAATAGGCTTGAAAACTCAGGAAGTAACTTGTTTCATGTTTTCCAATGGCCCAGTTCAAAATTAGAGTAAAAAACGTTACACTGTTTCTAACGCTTACATTGCTAACACTTTGTCTCTTACCTTGAGTAATGTTAGTCACAGCTGGTCTAACCTGGAATGGAAGCACGAATGCCGAAGTGGAGGCAACACAAGCCAGGAAGAAGATTGACTTCAACATCTTCGATTTTGGAATGATTTCAACGGCATCCACTCTTCTATTTATGCCGTCTCCCATTCCACTGATAACGTTGAAAATCGTAACATACGCCCTATCTTTTTTGGCACTGCACACTTCCATTTTCATCACTTTTCGTGTGCTCAAAAACTTTATTCGACGAGATACAACTAATAAGGAAGAGATAGACAACAAACTAGACGAAAAGAGCAATTGTGACCGTTGTAGTGATTACTTATTAGATATCGGCTGGGCGAATTCTTCCGCGGCATTCTCCGAAACCAATTCTAACGCCATTCTTGTCGCACACACCGGAGAGATTGACTTCGTCACCGTCCTTCAAGAATTTGCGCACCTCACTTCCGACTGGGACTTCTTTGGCTCCACGCCATGAGAGTTCGAGCATAGATCCGTAGGCTCCTTCTTCTGGTCCAGAGACTGTTCCGGATCCCAACAGGTCTCCAGCACGGAGGTTGCAACCATTGACGGTATGGTGAGCTAGTTGTTGCTTGAGAGTCCAGTATAAGTGCTGAAAAATAAAAATTTAGATCGATGTTCTACAAATTTCAGTGTTTTAGCGAATTTCGTGTTTGTGCCCACTAGTTTTTTTTTCTGCTGGTTTTTAGCTATCCAATCGTTTGAATTAAAAGCGTTGAACGGTTATCAGATGCGAGAATTCTCAAGATTTTAGTATTTTCTCAAAATTGCGAGATGCATATTTTCAAAAGAAAACAATTTTCAGCTCGAATTTTAATACCATTCTGTTCATTTGTATCGTCTTACTCCAAAAATACCATTTTTCAATTTGCTGTGAAAAAAAAAACCAATTTTCGCAACAACAAAACTAGCTCAAAAACCCCATTTTCCAAATCTCAAGCGTATAACTGTCTTTTATTTCTAAGATTCTCAATGCCCTCACTTTGAAGTTAGTTTTGCAGACGACGTGATCCTCAGTGTCTCCTTCTGGACGGATTGTGACAGCCAAGTTGATATCGAGGGTGAATGGATCGCTGTGGCGAAGGTACTCAGGTGGAGTTGGGTCTTGTGCTGGGTTCTCAACAAAGTATGGACGCAGAGCTTCAATGGAGACAATCCAAGGAGAGATGGTAGTGGAGAAGGATTTGGCGAGGAATGGACCAAGTGGTACATACTCCCAGGCTTGGATGTCACGAGCTGGAAAATGTTGCTTTGAGGTCGCGGGTCACCCGAATTATGTATTTGTTGTTATTAGAGCTACTTCTTCTTCGAATTTTGCAAGTAGTAGTGCAATGTTCGTTATAGGCTGTATATAGGATTCCGGAAAAAAACCTGGTTTTGCGTATCATCTGTTTTTTTCATAAAATTTGAAAGTCACTCACCACTCCAATCATTCATCAAAACCACTCCAAAGATGCGATCTTCAGCCTTCTCAATAGGAACACGGGTTCCGAGAGTGTTTTCTGGTCCTCCAACAAAGAACGCCATCTCGAGCTCGAAATCCATCAGCTTTGATGGTCCGAATGATGGAACCTCGGCTGAAAAATTTCTTTTATTTTTCTCGAATTCTTGATAACACCTCACCATCTGGAGCCTTTGTCTGTCCGACTGGTCTCTTCAAGTCAGTTCCAGATACAACCACAGAGGATGCTCTGCCGTGGTATCCGACTGGGAGCCATTTCCAGTTTGGCATCAAGGCGTTTTCCTTTCCACGGAACATGATTCCGACGTTGGTAGCGTGGTAAATGGATGAGTAGAAGTCGGTGTAGTCTCCGATTTGGGCTGGGAGGTGCATGGTGGCAGCGGATTGAGCGACGAAGGCACGTTTTCTGAAAAAAATCCAGGTTTTGGGATGATTTGGGAATTTCTGTAAGCAGTAGGAGTTTCTGAAACTATACAAGTAGCCTGACTAATCTGATTAGCTAGATTTTTAACTTTCACTTTTCATCATGGATCTTTTTTAAAATCTCGATTTGGCTATTGGTCAGTTTTTCAATTTCTCACAGAGGGGTTGAGCATGAAGTTCATTTACGGATTGAATACGGACTTATTCGTTGTCATTTTTTGAAGCTGAGCTGTTACGGATTCAATACTACCTGTGTTCGGTTTCTATTTAGACCGTAAGGAGGACCGTGGTTAAAAAATCCACCATTTTATCTTTCCAGTTTTGATACTTTGCTTACCTCAAATCGGCATTATCTCTCAGAACTGTACAGTTCTCGCAAAGAAGCTGCTGAATTTTTGCACGAGCTTCGAGCCAAGCTGGGCGTGGAAGAGCCATGAAGGCATTCAAAGTGCACTTCTTGAAGACATCTTGGTGTGCTTTCAATTCTGGTCCGTCAAAGAGATCGGCAATTTCAGCCAAGTTGAGGATCTGGTCTCCAATGGCAACTCCGATGTGGCGTGGACCCTGGATAAATAGAAATAACAAATTATTCATAAAATGTTCCCATACTTACATCTGGTTGTGTTGAGAAAATTCCATACGGCAAGTTCTGAATCGGGAAATCCGAGGTTGGAGCAACATCGATGAAGGACTTCATGATTCTGCAAAATAACCAATTTGTGTTTGTGAGTATTTAGGTTAGAAAATAATGCGGACACAACAGTCTGCCATGCCACCGAACCGGTGCGGCGTTGAAATCGGAGAGACTGTGTGGATTGGAGAGGGGGAAGACAGAAAAGGAGACGTGTGCGCACAGGCCAAGGTCGAGACGACGACAACGACCCTAAAAAAAACAGTACAAGTAACTGCACACACGACGAAACTGCTTTTATAGTGTCTCAGAGATCTTTCAAAGAGAAATTGGATGATGATAATGACGTCAAAGATTGATACGGTATCATCTCAAGGATCTGATAGATAGGGATGGAGCAAGCAAAGATAAACAAGATATAGAACAGAGAAAAATATAGATAGAGAAAGTGGAGTTATCATGAAAAATGCAAATTGTCGAATTGCGAAACAGTCACGTGATTTGTTTTAGAAATGTTTGACCGCCAAATGTGTTTGTTTGCAGTGGTAATAGTTGTGTTACGTAGTGTAAATATGGTTTTGCAGGAAAAAAAAATGAAGGGTGCTTCTTACCCAAAAGAAAATGAACAAATAGGTTCGTTTACTAGTCGTTGTCGTGAAAAAAAACCCTGAATTTGAATTTTCAAAAATCAGCTATCTTTTCATATTTTGTTTCGTTATCGCTCTGTATTGAGAAAAGATTCACAGTTTTTTATCATTTCAATTCGGAAAAATATCACAAAATTACAGACAAATCATAACGAAAATATTATTATAGTGGCTTGAAAGCATAACATGTCACATTTTCCTTAAACGCCTGACAGAATGTATCAGTATGAGCAATGTAGCTGAATTCTCCGGTTCCACAAATCACATTAACCTCGTGTCCCAACTGTTCTTCAGCAATCTTCTGGATGGTTCGTTTCGATTCACTAGCATCTTCGATAATGTTCTAAAAACTGCCTATGTATAGTTGTTTTTATGGATTCACTTACGTCAAGAATGATGTTTTTTAGTTCTGAACTATTGCAAGATGGATCCACCGTCTTGGCAGCAAACGCAGCGCGTCTCACACTCTTGTACTTGCATGGTGAGGAACATCCACAGCAGCAATCGTTCTGTAAACAGTACTTCTAAAAAGTGAATCCCGACTAGAAAACCTGAGCGGGAATTCTGACTGCTGGAACAACAGCACCTCCGCTGCATCCGCCACCCATTGGCATTGGCATCGGTTGTTGGTACATTGGTTGTGGGTAGTACTGTGGAACGTAGGATGGGTAGAATGGCCGTTGTTGCATACATGGGCAACTTGGTCGGGGCATCGGTGGAGGTGGTGGTGGGCATGGCATTGGTGCCGGTGGAGGTGGTGGGCAAATTGGTGGAGGTGGGCAGAATCTAAACGGTTTCAGGAAACATTAAAACAAGTTCAGAAGCCAATAAAAACAAGTTCAGAAGCCAATACTCACTGAGCTGGACATGGTGGAGGTGGTGGACAAACTGGCATTGGCATGGGCATGGGCATCGGAGCGGCGCATGGCATTCTAGGTTGACACAATGGTGTGGGACATCCTCCACAACCTCCCCTACCAAATGGATATTGTGCATAGACACAACTCAACGCAAACTGAAAAACATGATTCGTTTAATCTATTCCATCTGAAAGTCTCACCAAGAAAATGGCAAGTGAGGAAGTACTCATACTTTGCAAATAGTAGGATGAGAAGGGAAAATACGGAAAGCTGGTATGGCATCCGACCACCCACATGGATATTTATACTGCTTCATACGTGTAACCAGTTTTTTGGTTTGAGAGTTTCAAGAAGGTTGTGTGACCTTTAAAGTCTTGCGGATATCGCTAAAAATGCGTTCCCAGTGTTTGAAGTAGTTAGGGAATTTGGAAAGAAAAATGTCTTCGCGGTCATAGAGTTGAAGGTTAGCCGAATTGAATCTGTTTTAAATTATATGTATATATATAAAATTATTGCCGTAAAACCTGTAACACAAGGGGCCTCACACTGTCAAGTTTAAGTTCAATTATCTCAATTCCTATATAAGGTAAAAAAAAAATGTTTCAACTGACAAAACACTTCTGACATTATGATAAACAATTTATCAGCTTGCAACTTTTTGATATCTTTTGTAGGAACCGTAATAATTGAGCTCAAAGTGCTCTTAAAGGGTTGAGTTCTCTTAGAGCGGTATATGAAATTACAACTTTCCTAAACATAACTATCGATCTGTAAATAAGGGTAACGTAAATAATACACAAAGCTGTAATATTAATTCCGACTAACCGTGGAATTTGAGTAATTTCTCATATTTTCTGCAAATGATAGTAATAAGCAGTCAACATACAGGTCAATCTTTATTTATACATGGCTGAAACATCCTCCATTCTTTCTGAAAATCTGGTCTTCTGCTGAAGGAAACCTTAATGTTAATTCATTTTTGAGACCTGTAAAGCTTAAATTCTGTTAATTTTTGGCTGATATTTTCAAAACCAGAGTTTTTTCACTTCGATTTGCATTCTCATTCATTCACATTTTCAAGCAAGCAGAATTCATATTTCTTGATAGCTTCTTTGATCTGGCTTAGGTGTTCTTCACATTGCATCATTTACTTATGAGTAATACACTTTCGAAATTCTCAACCAAAGAAAAAACTATAGTCTTCGCTTTATTTGCACATCCTTAGACATTATCCTGAAGGTCGCACATGTTATGATTCAAACTTCATTTAAAATAACTAGTATGACATTCTTTCCCCAATTTACATTAATCATCGTTTTCACGGAAAACGTCTTCTTCTTGTTTTTGAGATAACTTCTCTCGCTACCCATTGCGAACTGGAACACAAACTCCTCGAGACAGAACGAATCGAGCGCAGCACCATTCTCCGTAACGTTTGACACGTGGCGCAACTGGAAAATTTGGAATAAAGCATAGCTCAATGTCTTCGAAACTAACTTTGCTCTTCCAGAACACTGCGTTTGCCTCGTGTCGCTCCTTGAGCACATGGTTGGGTGTTACACACTCTAGTCTGACGAACGGGTCTTCTGAGAAAATCAAAGTCTGATCTGCTATTTATCAACTTCCCACTTACGAGCAGTCCGTTGCACTTGTGCACCGAGTGCGGAACTGTGTTCCACAGGACCCACAGTTTTCAGAGCAACCCGTCCAGCCAGACCACTGGAGTGAGAAACCTGCAATTAGAAATTAGAAATGTTTAAATTCAAAATGTTTTTATTTATTTAAAAATACCCACTTCTTGGTGGTGGTACTCTCATCGGAGCAGGTCTAGGCGCTGGAGCCGGCCTTGGCGCTGGAGCATTTCCATCTAAAAAAAATTATTTTGTTGTTCATTTGATATTCCATACCTGCTCTGTATCTCAACACAAATTGAGAATTCTGAGTTGCCTTCGAAATAATCAAAACACTATTTCCCTTGCTTATTCTTTCCCCAAGTACTGCTCTACAACACTGTCGGTACCCAGTTGCTTCGTGTGTGTATTCTGCTTTGATCTGAAAATTGAAAATGAAAAAATGTGCTCATAAGGATATAATATACCTCAACAAATTCTTCACAGACCGGAGAGCATCTGTACATGACGTATGTGATTTCAAAACGCACATTTCCTCCATTAGCCTGGAAAATTGCACGTTCAGTTAGCAATGAAAAAGAAAAAACTTACAGCAACAATTCTCCAATAACAATCTGACGATCCGGAATATGAAATATTTCTCCACGTGTAATTAGCTCTGGGTAGTTCAACTCCACAGTCTGAAAACCAAACAGTTAATCTTTTTTTGATATAAATCACCCACTGGAAGTTTGTAATCGTTCACAATAAATTCCCTCCAATCCAGAGGGACATTTACATTGCCCGCAATTGTTGGGGTCTGGGTATCCGCCGTGCTGGCAGTTGATTTTATTTGTGCAGATATCTGAAATGGGGTTAGCTCGTATGGAAAAAAATTTGAATATTACTTGAACAAAACGCAGTGTTTAATAATTTGAGATCAAGAAATGAGGGCTCTATCCGGTTACCAATAGTGCTAATGAATGCAGCATCAGTTGGTTCCACTGTATTCAGTGTGGAAGATCTTGAGAATGACTGAATATAAAGAATGTGAATTTGCTAAAGAGAGAAAGGAAACTTACTTTCGGTCCATAATGCATAACGGACCCATAGTCGTAAGGTAAACTGTATTCATTCACTTCTGACCAAGAACGTCTGTCGAACTGGCCTTCCAATCCATTTATAGCGTTTTGCCTATTGATTCTAAACCGAATGATTGAATTTTTCCAGAAGTTTTCCTTTACCGGACATATGAATCCCTTTCCGGCCTAGCTTGTTCATGCCAAAAGCCCAAAGCATGTCCGACCTCATGTGTAATTATTCCAAGCTAAAAATCTCTGTGCTAAATTCGAAAAAAAAATTTTACCGTTTCACAACCATAGCCAATCGAAATTTCTTGAGCACCTCCTAGCTGGCCAACACTCGAATAGCAACTGAATTTGTTACCGGTTTAAAACTTAAATAAGCCCAAAACACACCCTTCTCCTTGATTGAAAACAAGATAATCAGAGCCTGCACCATTTAACAAAAACCGTATACAACTGTTACGCTCATAATATCTTAGAGCATTTGTGATTTGAGTTTGCCAGTTTGCTGAAAAAAAACGTTAAAAAATATTGGCTGAATGTCCAACATACCATCAGTGCCTAGGAAGCGGTATGGAATATTCCTGGACCAAGTTGTCCCGTTGAGATTCATTTTTCGTTTAACGCGAAAACCATTTTTTGCAACTTTGTTCATTTGTGCTACAGTCAGTGCCTAAAGACAAAAACTTCATAACTTAAACCAACGATCATCAGAATACCATATCACTTTCAAACATAATCGCTGCAATTTTCCCATTAGCTGCCATTTCGTTAGTAGCGATACCAGTAGATGGAATAACTGCATTCATGTCATATTGTGATCCTGATTTCCGGTTAAAGTAAGAACTCATAATTTGAATAACTTTGTCATAACTTTCGCCGGGTCGCTCAAACGCCGCTGTGTTCTGGTTTACACTGTTGACTACCTGAAAATTGATAACTAACGGAATCAGCTAATTTTGATACCAACTTTATCGATGTCTTGACTGAACATCACTTGTGGCTGATCTTGCTGTGGCTCCGGTGGTGGTGGATTTGGCGATGGAGGAGGCGGAGGCAAAGGGAAATCCCATAAAGGTCGTCTATGCCAAGGCGGACGTCTCCATGGTGGCGGTGGCCTTCCCCACGGTGGTGGTGGTCCAAATGGAGGAGGGCCTCGCCTGACAAGAAAACACGCATTATATAAGAATAAAGAATTCTATGGTTTTTTTATCTGGGTCTTCAAGAATATACTGGTTTATTGCTTCCATCTCCAGACTTTTTTTTGAGCATTAAAAAGTTGCGCCAATGAATCACGTTATACGTTTCCTCACTATCATTCTTCTCTTTGTTTTTACAAGATAAGGAAACTTACCGGTGCCACGGTGGCGGCGGTCCCCATGGTCTGGGCGGTGGTGGGGGTCCTGGAAAAAACCAATCTGCAAACCGGAAAACATTCTTTGACTCATTTCAAGTGATAACTACTTCCTCTCTCAACATATTAATTTCAGAAATAAAATCCGTTAAACTGGCAAAAATTTCACATTCCAACAGTTATGTAACATATGACTGCTTACTTTATCTTCGTAAGTAATTCCTGCTGTAAATTCCTACCTGGTGGAGGTGGACGGTCAAAAAAATCAGGTTGCGTCAGGCAAGCAGAAACATGTGATATCAGTATGCTTACAAATAACATTTTTTCTGGCATTGGGTCATAGCGTCCAAAAAGAGTAATTTACCACACTAAAGTAAAATCGGAGAAAAATTAGGAAGAATTTTCAGCCTGAACTAGTTCAGTAACACTCCAAAAATAACGACCTGCATTTGGTACGTGTCGCATAAAAAAAATAGTTGTGGTTTGCATCTTCTCGACGCATTCGCCCAATCAAAAATAAAGGTCGTAGAAGTTCAATTGGGCAAACTTTGACAGAAAAAGGAAAGAAATAAGAATGACCTCAAAAAGTGTCTTCTGACAGAAATGGTAAAATGATTGGTAGCATTTGAAAGAAACGAAGAATGCAAAGATGAAATAACTGACCGTTATGATAAAATTGGTGAATGCTAGTGCTTCAGGTTTGTTGAGAAAACACAAATTGTTCATTTCATAAATTAAATTAATATTTGCAAATTATCATAAAACCGTTCACAAAAATATAAGACAGAAGTTCAACTCAAATGAATCATTAGTTAGTCGCCGAATTCTGATGAACTGAATTTGGATTTAGAATCAACGTTCAAAAAATCAGTTTTTAAATCACACAACCCGTCAGAGAAAGTGACGATAGTCGAGAATTTTTATCCAATAATTGATATAAACGTGAACTATGATCAGTGGAAATCAACGGTGGCGCGGTTTCAATCATCCCATAAATTATTATTTTATTCCGGAAACCTAAAACATTCGATATCGGACTTGAGAGCATGAAAATGAAAAATGTGTACTGTGATCATTTGGAGCCAGGAATGACTAATATAATGGGATCGAGAAAATTAATGGATAAATTTACAAAAATAAGCATTGACACAAAACATGTGGGCATTATAATATAATCAATGGTTTCTGATCCATTTACCATGAAAAGATAATCAATCTTACCATTTAATTTCTGTATTCGAGTCAACTTCACTCGATTTCTGTGAAAGCTATCAAAAGCTGGTTGATTAAAAATGTCTCTGATTTTATAATGATCATTTTTTCTAGTGGACCGCTTATCTTCCATATGAAATGAGATATATGGGCTTGAATTTGACGGTTGGAGGGGAATTCTAGCAGACTGATTTGCTGTAAATTTCGATAATCATTTTTTGCTCGGTTTTCTCACCAACCTGAAAATCAAGTAGTTTGTAGTATTGCCTCTAATACATTCTATTTTTCATTTCCATTCTCCCATACCATCGGTTTAGCGTTCTCATTACTTTTTGGCTGATCACTTTTCATCATAAATCATGGTTACATGATATTCGCAGTCGGCCCATATCATCGTTTTTTACACCCTTTTCAACTTTGTGCTTTTTATGTCATGCTTTCGTTTTCTTTCTCTTCACTTTCCCCATTTTCATCTTTCGCCTCTCTCACCCCAGTACTTCATTTACAGGCAGATAACAATGAATTGCAGACAACCCGCACGAAACTTTGTCTCTTTCAAGTACACGTACTCTCGTTTGCATGCCTGCCTTCTGCGCTATCCGATTAGTAGAGCAGTGTGTAATGTACGGAAAGAGCTTACAAGATCGAGGAGGGGGGAGGAAAAAGGTGGAATTGATAAAATTTATGGGTGAAATATTTAAGAAGGTGGGAGAAGTACTATTGAGAACCGAGCAGTTTGAAAAGTTAAGATAACCATTCGAGACGCAGAGCGAAACGGTAAGGACAGTCATCGGAGAGCCAACGCACCTATTCCCCACCTCCTCCTTCTTCTTCTTCTTCTTCTTATTCTACTCCTCCTTCTTCCCTTGTCTCCAACAATTTATTAAGCACCGGCTCATTCCTCGTCAGTATCGCCGCGATGGCCTACTCGGAGAGTCGCTCGGAGAGCGTTAGCTCGAAAGGTTAGTGACTTTAATGGTTTCGGAAAAAGTTCACAATATTAATTAACAATATTTATATTAAACCTAAATGTTTTAAATCTTCTTGTTTGGAAAAGCTTATAAAATTGAACGGCTTTTCTAATTGCAGTCCCCCTTTGAAAAAAAACAAAAGTGCTCCCTCTAATTGAAGGGCCCTCTACTTGTAGTCCCACTCTAGTTAAATACCTTTTTGCTGAATCACTGTATTAGAAGAACCGGCCCTGTATTAGAGAGTACCTATAGTGGAAGGGTTGCACCTCCTAATACAGGTTTTTGGCGTATTATCTTTTTGGAATATTTATCAAGAAGTCCGAATTGAGTGTAGCTAAAAAAATGTCCTTTACTGTGTTGGTAGACTATATTCCATTCTTTGCTTTTTTATTCTCAAATAAATTTACTGCTTTGTTATTAGAATTTTTGAAATTTCTTCCAGCTCTCTTACCGGAACTTTACTGTTTTTATCTAAAGTGTTTTTCTCTAACCTTTAACAATTTATCAGAAAAAATAGGAACTTAAACATGATGGTATGAAAAACTACCTCCCCTTATTTTTAGACCATTGATAATGACAATTACAAAGTTTTTCTTAGCTTATCGTTAATCTTTTAACCCCGTGAAAGTTTTATAATCTAAAAAAAAACGATGACAACAAAACGCTTGTGATTCTTGACCAAGAGCAAAGACAATGTGTGAAAACTACAATTTTTCAGGGAAAAAATCATATGGACATGAACTGGAAACTGTACCACTACCGGAAAAGAAAATCTACACAACATGGCCGGATATGATCAGACACTGGCCCAAGACTACACTTTGTATTGTCTCCAACGAATTCTGTGAACGATTCTCTTATTATGGAATGAGAAGTGAGTTTTATTTCCAGCGACCGCCTGACAAGTTTTTGATCTTAGTCCGGTACTACAAAAAAGTTATAGATAAGAAAAGGCGCGATCAACTTGCCAACTAAGGACATAGTACTTGCAAAGTGCTTTCCATACATCATAAGTGTGTAGGGAAATCGAAAGTTCTTAATCAAAATGAGCATACTTTCCCTCTCACCCTGGAAAAAATGTCATAATCCGGTTAGGATTATGACGTTTGAAGAGCAAGAGATCATTCACCACGTGACAGTTCTTTTTCAGCTGTATTGACGTTCTACCTGCTCAATGTGCTCAAATTCAGCGACTCTCAATCGACAATTTTCTTCAACGGATTTACTGTGCTTTGCTATACCACACCACTTCTCGGATCAATTGTTGCTGACGGCTACATTGGAAAATTCTGGTTTGTTAAAGAAAAAAACATCTAAATAGAGACAGTAATAGTGTATTTTCAGGACAATCTTCTCTGTTTCAATTCTTTATGCTATTGGACAAGTCGTTCTTGCACTCGCTTCTATCAAAAATTATCAGTCTTCGGTTCACCCGTAAGTGATGCTTGTTCCAATCATTTTGCGGAGCAAAAACTTATCATCAAACCTGTTTTTCGTTTTTGCTTACGAATTCCAATGGAAAACGAAAACGAGAGCACTGATAAGACAAAGTCTTTCGATATGGCAACTTTTGGCCGATAGTGCGCATGAAATATTAAAATGTTAACATAATAAAAGAAAAAGGGGAATTTATTTGGAACTGTTCTTTCAGATGGATGGACTTAGCTGGATTACTGATCATTGCATTCGGTACCGGAGGTATCAAGCCATGTGTGTCTGCATTCGGAGGAGATCAATTTGAGTTGGGACAAGAAAGAATGCTTTCACTCTTCTTCTCCATGTTCTACTTCTCCATTAATGCCGGATCTATGATCTCCACTTTCATCTCCCCAATCTTCAGATGTAAGGAGCAAAACAATTTGAATCATAAAGGTTACAATTTTTTCAGCTCAACCATGCCTCGGTCAAGATTCTTGCTACCCAATGGCTTTCGGTATTCCTGCTATTCTTATGATCGTCGCTACACGTTAGTAGAGATTAAGATGCTTCTCAAAAAATTGAATAAACATTTCAGTGGTCTTCATGGGAGGTTCATTCTGGTACAAAAAGAATCCGCCAAAGGATAACGTTTTCGGAGAAGTCTCTCGCCTTATGATTGTATGTTATCAATTTGATTGCTCTCGATAACATCTCATTTTTTAGGGAGCCGTCGGAAACAAGATGAAAACAGGATCAACTCCAAAAGAGCACTGGCTTCTCCACTACCTCACCACCCATGACTGTGAACTTGACCCCAAATGTCTTGAACTTCGCGCTGAAAAGAGAAACAAGAAGTTGTGCCAAAAGAAAAAGTTCATCGATGACGTCCGCTCTCTTCTTCGTGTTCTTGTCATGTTCTTGCCAGTGCCAATGTTCTGGGCACTTTACGATCAGCAGGGATCTGTCTGGCTTATTCAAGCTATTCAAATGGATTGTCGTCTTTCCGATACCCTTCTTCTCCTTCCCGATCAGATGCAGACTTTGAACGCCGTCCTCATTCTTGCCTTTATTCCTCTTTTCCAAGTAATTATCTATCCAGTTGCCTCTAAATGTGTCACACTTACGTGAGTTTCAATCTTGGGAATTGTGTGGTATTTCTCGGTTTTCAGCCCACTGAGAAAAATGGTCACTGGTGGACTTCTTGCTTCTCTAGCTTTCTTGATTACCGGATTCGTTCAACTCCAAGTTAACGTAAGATTTTTGACAATGAGAAAAGTTTTTTCCAAAACTTCTCAAAATTCAGACCACTCTTCCAAACCTCCCAGGAAAAGGTGAATGCTCCATTAGTTTCTGGAACCAATTTGACAACACCTATCCAAATTGCCAAATGATGGTCACAGATTCCAGCGGTAGTATGAGAACCATTAACCACAGTATGGTAAGTAAAATCCGGTTCTTTACTCTACAATTTATCATGCCATTTCAAGAATTGATAAAGATCACAAACCAAATTTATTGGTTTACGGCGGTTATCTAATAATTTATAACTACAATAACCACAAATATTTAGCTTTATCAGTATTTCCAACATACTCGTTGCAGGCTCTTCATGAAGACAAAACCGACACGTCTGGAGTGTTTAAACTCTTCCAATCTAAGTCACCAAGCTCCAAGAGCGCATCCGACTGGACTGTTTCTTTCACAATCGCTTACAAAAACTGCGGAGATGACACAGTAAGAGGAATACTGAGAAAAAAACACCAGAGCAAATATTATAGAAATTGCAAAAAAAAGCCTCTGTTACTGCCAAGAGCAAAAAAGTCATCTACGTTGGAGTCGGATCGTTTGGATATTACCAGAATACAGCTAACACTGATAAACCTACCGATGGAACTGGAGAATTCTCGATGGGGTACAGATTCCTGAGTATTTGATATGTTTCAAATACGATTTTTTTTCAGAATTGTTGCAAACATAGACAATGGATATAACGGAAGCTTCGCTATGTGCCGTACAGACGCCAGCGATTACGATGCAGCAAACCCATGTAACCCAAGACATCCAGCTGACTTCTATTTCTGGGAAACCGATTACAACAGTCATACCAGCGACAGAGAGGGATATACTACTGTTACGGGACGAGCCAGACCAGTAGTCACCTATAAACAGAAATCTGTAAAGCCAGGAAAATGGGAACTTTTCTACTTGCTCAACACTCCAAAGGACGTTGATCGACAAACCTATAACAAGACAGCCACCGAGGTCAAGGGTACCAGCTACAATCTCACTCGTTATGAGCAAGGAGGAGTTTTCATCTATGCGCTGTCAGGACAATATGATAATCCATATGTCACTGAACTTCAAATTGTGCAAAACAACAAAGTGTCCATCCTCTGGCAGATTCCACAAATTGTCGTTATCACGGCTGCTGAAATTCTCTTCTCGATTACTGGATACGAGTTCGCTTATTCTCAGGTAACAGATCAGGATATTTCCTTTATTTTCTATAAATCAAAACATTTTCAGTCCGCTCCATCTATGAAGGCTCTTGTGCAAGCTCTCTGGCTTTTGACCACTGCCGCTGGAGATACCATTATTGTCATCATCACAATTCTCAACTTATTCGACAACATGGCTGTAGAATTCTTCGTCTATGCAGCTGCTATGTTCCTTGTTATTGCTGTCTTTGCACTTCTTTCCATATTCTACTACACATATAACTATTACACTACTGATGAAGATGATGATGAGATTGGTGCTGATGATGAAGAGGATAGTGAGGACGACGTCAATCCGAGATATTCAATCGATAACAAAGCATTTTCTTCAGATGAAGCGGATTGTTTAGATGTTCATTTCTAGATATATATTTCTCATGTATTATAAAACCTATTTTTTCAATTTTTTGTTATTCTCCGAAAACACTACTACTGTTGCTTTTTTGTGACTTTCTGAAACCAAAAATAAAATCTTCCAAAAAACTTTGTTTATGTCCACTTGAACCCTTTCACCCAAACAAAATCGACACAGCTCGCTTCTTGATTTTTTCACTTTGTTGAACCATGGAAAAACATTTTGTATTCTACTGGAAAAAGCGTCTGAACTCAAAATAGAGGCCAAATTTGAAAGTTGACATGCGACGGCCGGATGAGTATATCCGGTCTAAAGCTTTGTGTGTATGTAGAGAGAAGGAGGAGGACAACAGCTCGTTGGTGTGGGGTGAGCTCTCATTATCCGCTTCTATTCTGATATTCTGACGACTACAAAGATGACGGACGAATTGACTTCACCTTCACTAAAATCTGGAAATGTTCTGGCTCTACTTAACACATTGTATACCTCCGGGTTTGCAATGGCGTCGTCTAGTACGCCATTGTTGAAAGGTATGCATTCGAAATTTTCTAGTTAATAGTAATTGTAGTTTTACCTTGCTTAAAATTAAAATATATAACTTTTTCCTAAGAAGCCAATAAAAACGATGTTTTATCATCTTTTTTTATGATCTTGCTTTCAGGAAAAACTTTGCACACCCTATATGCCGTTTCGTTCGTCGTCTACGTCACCAACTCTATTTGCTCTTGGCTTCACATCAGTTTCGTTGTGAAGGTATGAAAATGAGTGGGGACATGGAACGAATCGTTTTTCAGGGCTACGTGACTTCATTTCCATTGAATACTTGGTTGGTTATCTCGTTGGTGGTCACTGCAGTATGTGGGTCAATGTGTACTTGGTTGTTGCTGGTGGGCGGTTTTGGAGAAGAAAGAAAAAAAAATGACGGAATTGTATTTTTAGGTACTTTGTATTGAGAATGCTTTTGCTCATCGACTTGACATCACTCCTTATCGAAGCGGATGTGCACTCTTGTTTGAAGCATTTATCGAATGGACACAGGTGTTGAACTTTCGATCATTTTGTCAGCAAATTTGTGAAAAATTCAACTTTTAGGCATTCAACAACTTCCGAATGTCGTTTCTTATCATGGCACTACACGATGCACCGATCACAATTTTCAACTACTTTTTTATCGCAGCATGCAGATGTCCGAACCCTAAAGTGATTGTTAACTTTTTGAAACAAGGGGGAAATAGTGGAGAAAAAATATTTGCGGAGTAGGGAAATAATTGAAAATGTTGCAGATACTCTCGTGGCCGCTCGTTCTATCAGCAAGCTCGTGTACCGTGTCACTGATATGGCGAATTACCGTTTTATATTTCTCGTACAAGTGAGAATATGATTTGGAGTATAGGAGAAATCGAATGTAATTTATTATAGGCGAATGGTATGCTCCAAGAAGCCGGTCAAGAAAGTATCCGGTGTAGCAGTTAATACTCCAGCAAAAAAACATTTTCGACAAGCAACAGACACAAGGTACATTACTCGAAAAAGATGAAACTCATAATATACAGTACAGGTCAATAAGATACAGAAAACATTTTTCAGTTCATTTTGGGCCATTTGGACCATATTCAGGAATCTGGAACTTGGTACCCAAGTTTCGGATCATTTTGAAAATTACGGATGGTGTGAAACAGTTTTAGATTAGAAACTTTGTATTCACAGATACTTTCGAAAAATACTATTTTTCCAGCTATTGTCTGATTTCTGAAAGGCACCCCGTCATAGCCTGTTTTTGAACGGACAACGTAAAAAATGCGTCTTTTAGTGTCTTTTAGAAGTCGACAAATAGTTTAATAATTTGGAACGTTCAACAAATTCTGTGAATGTAACATTTTCAATCTCTACACCCTCCGAGATGTTCATAGTGGTTGGAAACTTGACAGCCAAGCTCCAGAATCCTGGATATAGTCCAAATGACCGAAAATGGAGTGAGAAATATGTTTTCGCACATCTTAATGACCTGTAATTCAAAGAAAGTTTTTTTGCAGCAGTAAATCAAATGGAGGAAGACTTGGAGAATACGATGAAACTTGGCCAATCAGATGGGCAAGAATTCAAACTATCGGACCTCATCATGATGTGAGCTTTTTTTGTTGATCACTCACCATAATGAACTACTTCAGAGACTTGTCGACTCATCAGATGCAACTAGCCCCATTTCAAATGGGAAGCCTAGAAGCATCCCTTCACCTGTAGAAAAACCAAAACCAGTAATGAAGGACTTCATGAGAAGAGCCGGAGATTTCCGAGCTAACTTTGATGTGAGTGTGTTTTCCATTCACATGGGATATCCATGTTTTTTCAGTGTCAGAGCTCATGCAGATACTTTTTTGGACATTTGTTCTGGTGTATACTCACATTCATAACTTATCTTGTTTGGACGGCGCTGTGTTGGATACCTTGCGTCTATCATTACACATGCCGTCATAATAGTTTTTATCATAGACACAAATTTTGTAGATCTTTTATTAGGTAAGAATTTAAAAAAGGTATCGAGTTGGATGATTTGATTTCAGATATTTTTCAATCACATTTCACTATTCCATATTTTACTTGTCTCTTGTGATCTCTGCAATGCTTATTGGAATGAATGTGACTCTGCTTTCTTCCGTACACGGACTGGGCTCAAATTCAATGCCTCCAGAAATTGACCGAGTTTGTTTCAAAGTTCAAATTCAAAACTAACCTCGATTTGAGTTCAGATCTGTGTCACAATTTCCCCTGAATCGCACATGATTTACACTAGTATTCTACCGGCGTCTCCATTCGAAACTTCCTTGCAGCTGAGAAAACGGCTGAATAGGTAGAGTTTGTTTTCCTCCCAAACCTTGCTAATCAAAAAATATATTTAAGACAAAATGCTCCTAAAGATCCAAAAGCTGTGACCGAATGCAAACCGCTATGGGAGGATGGAGGACTTGGAATCGGGCTAGCAAGAAGAGAAGCGGGTGTATGGGAGATGAGGACTCCGATAAACAACACGATGCTGGTACAGAAAAAAGAAACGTTTCCCAACAACAAAAAATGTATTCCAGGCGGTTTCCACATATGTCACCTTCAACAACACGAAAATTCACAGTCCATCCCTAAGATTGGAATACACCCATACACTTTTCATACGCAGAAATAACAATGTTAATGAAAAATATACATGTGTCAGGGAATCTGGATGGTGAGCTCGACAACTCTCAAAGTTACCAAAAAATATATTATTTTAGGACCGTTGTGCCATCTGTGACTCAACTGAAATGGCCGTACTTCTCTGCTTGTGAGCAGAACTGGAAGTTTGCTGAGAATCCAAACTTGATAGAATGCAATCAAATTTTTGGAATCGGAGGGGCAAAGAAGCACAATCAACGGCATAATTTTCATTTTTTGAGAACTTATGCAGCCATTCGGAAAGCATAATTAAATTCGTAATTAATTGATCATTCACGAGTAATAGGTGCCTTTTTGTAAATGAATGAACGATTGCATTTGATCCTGAAGTCTCGTTTTGAATGTCATAATATTGAACAACGGGAACTACATATGCTTACATGAAAACATGATTCATTAAAAGTTTCGATTTTCCTTGTCTATTCTCATATCCGAAATCCTTCAAAGCCCCTCATTTCCCAAAAATGAGCAGAGTAGAATCAAAAAAAGTAATGAAATAATGGAATAAAAACTTAAATTTCGAAGGAAGGAATAGACGTTTTAAAGGTGGGGGGACAGGAGATTTTTCGTAGTTTTTTTTGTAGCTAGAGTATGCATTCTACCGTCACGGTGTACAACGCTAAATGTCACTCTGCGTACAGCTGTCGTCCTCGCCTTTATGTATGCAATCGGGCGTGCGCTTTCTCTTTGCCCGCGTGGCTCAGTCGGTAGCGGCGCCGCACCCTCAATCATCGCCCTCACAAGTTCAACTCCTCGAGGAACGGAAATTCATCTTTGAACGGAATTTCGAGAACATTATTTTTTCATGTCCCACCACCTTTAAGAATTAGCCAATCAGTGATTTAAAATCTCCAACCAAGTTGGATTTGGTTTATGAAACAATAAATGCAGCTGACTTGTCTGACAATGCGAACATGCTATCAATTTGGTTAATCAGATTAGCTTTCAAACTGTATTTTTCCCCAATTTTTGTGTTCCTGTAAATATTTCGTTATTGAACTGTGGATTTGCGATCGATAGTTTTTGAAGGCTCTAGACATCTGCATAATGTTTTCTTTCCCCAATTGAATAGTCTTTCTTTTTGCTGACTCATTTCATCCTTTTTTCTCTCCGTTGCATCTCTGATATCACTCCATCGAAAATTTTCATTCATTCCGTTCCATTCCTTTTCTTTTCCTCTTTTCCTTAGTGTGTTATGAACAGTTTCTTCGGATGAAACAAAAAGCAAAAAGTATGATAGGCTACGAGTTTCATTCCCTCCTAATTATACAATCACAATTTTTCTACCCGTGGCTGAGCTATTGAAGTTGGAGTTGATCCCTTAGAGATTTTGACATTCTATCCAAGTTGCCTGGTAGTTATTTAAACAATAGGTGCAGCTAACATCTAAACGTAATCCATCTGAAAAATAGGAAAAAACTTCAGGTTTGTCAATCAGATAAGCTTTCAAATAGTTTTTTTCTTATATATCGACCTACGGTAACCATACGGTTTGGATTTTTTTAGACGTTTTTATTTTTTTCCATTGTTGTTATTGTTTAATCGAATCAATATGACCATTTCGTAACTGACCATTGGTTTTTTGTTTTTTTTTTCCGAATTTTCGAGAACCGTCCATGACTCATTTGAATCCAGGCAGCCTCTCATTCGTTTTTTCTTCTCACTCTCGCTCTACATCATTGAGGCGAAATCAGAATTCTGATTTCCGTTTTTCAAAGCTTCTTGGGCATACTTTATACGCTTCGACATGGGCTCCAAAAATACTGATATCCCTCCATTTCCTTCTCTTCGTGATCTCCCAGTTATGGTCCACCAAATGATCCAGAATCAATTGCCCCCATTCCAACCAGGCATTTTCAATACCAAAGACTGGGTATGTTTTCTAAGAGGAAGTAACAGAACTGAAAACAGTAACTATTTTAGAGAATCATGAGAAACACTGAAGTCAATTTCATCGAGATTCCCGGATTTCACGTGTGGACTCAGTTTTTCGTTAACGCTCAACCACCGACTATTCCTCTGAACCCACTTGATCATTTCACATTTTGTATTTCCTATGCCAAATATGCGCAAAACCCAACAGCAGAGAACATCATCGGAAATATTGTAATCAATCGATTTCTCAGTGTGCTTCCAATAAGTTATTTTTAGGCGCCAGACTTGGGATGGAAAGATCTGCCGATGCCAACACAACTCCATGTTCAATCGGCGTTCCCATTTAACGCGCTCCGCGGACACCCTTGCGTCGCCAACTGGCTCGAACCTTTTGATATCAGCAAAATGAAACCGGCGACCACTTTGCTGGAGGAAATGAGCGATTGCTTCACTTTCTACTCGTTGGTTTTCATGCAACTTGGAGTTCCTTCGTCTCTCCCCATTATCGATATGGTAGTAGTTCGAATACTAGAAAAAATAGTTTTTTTCTTTTTTCAGATGCGAGCTTCTGCTAAGCTCCGTTTTCTCTGCCGCGTCCCACTCTGCAAATTTTTCAATGTTGGCTGCAAAAGCAATGAGGATCCAGCGCTCAGGTAAGATACAAATAGGAATTGCAAAAAATAGGATGGGTGATTAGACCACAAGTAATATTTATGACCGAAATTTTCACATTTGCATTTTGAATTTTCTAGGTCATCACTTCAAAATGACCTAGGAAACACACCAGGGGAATATCAGATCAATTCTAGGCAATTTTACGATAGTGGGCAAGAAAACGCTATTTGAATAAGTTAGGCCACCACGAAATAGCCAAAAACAAACGAACAAAATGTCAGCATTTTTTTTGAGGAATCCCGATTTCTTAGTCTCCAAGAGTGAAAATAACTCTATTTCAGAAACTGTATCAACCAAACTTTCAGAAACAGAGCGGAAGAAGAAAAGTGCATCAAGGAGATCATTCTCTGGAACAAACTGATGATGGATCACGTGATCCACTACGACGTCAAAATGAAAATGAAATTCTGATTTCGAAACAAAACATATTATCGACGGAACGTTTCTCTCTCTCTTATTTTTTTTTACTTTTCATTTTATTTTTTCTACTCTGCTCATATATTTTTCTTCTAATTGGAAAAACGCAGAGGCAATAAATTAAAGTTCCAAATTGTTTTTATATGCATACACCAGTTTGCTGGCTGCTGCGCCTTCGGCGCAATTCAATATTTTTTACTGGTTTGTCGCTCCACCCCTCACTTTTCGCTTTCTCTTTCTCAAAGGATAGAACATGTACGCCCTCCCTTCTCTCTCCTGGTGTGGCTTTCATGGCGCAACTGGGTGCAGCCGTTGTCAAAAGGGCCGTGGGTTCAGTTTTGGCGGTGGCCTAACTCTTATTTGAAACCCAAAACCGGACAGCCGGACACTAGGACCGACAGACACGTCCAGCGTTTTATATATAAGGAAGATATCTCAGGTCTACATATCCATTTTAATCTTGCATCTATCAGGAAAAACCTGAGCCTCGTCGAAATTAATCGAAAGACATACAATTTGAGAGCGAGCAAGGGGCATTTGAGTTGCGAGAAACTGGTTGTCTACGAAGGATTCATATATCGTGAGAATGTGGTCTGACTATTCACCGGATTGCCAGTATCAATTTTCTTTTCTGTATCTTTAGAGGTAGTCGTGAGAAACTCTGCCTGAATATATTCTGCCCGAATAACATCTCTTCAGCTATACCTGACGCCCATCTTCTTTTTCGAAAATTGCGCGACCTCACTTGTTAGGGGCCTACGCACGTTGCATTGCAACCTCAACCACAACTCGACCTTAACGTAGGGTATCACACTTTAATGTTAGATTGACCTCACTTCTTTTCAAAACAGATTCAGCTCATTAAAATCGCTCATTGCTTATGAACTTTTGAAATATGTTCCAAACTCAGTTTTCGAATATTATATTTTTGAACCAGATTTACAGTACCGCTTAATAAGGTATACCAAAACATATTTTCCACTTGGTTTTTAGGCCAGTTCATTTCCTAGTTTGTCAGCTTTTCACCGATTTCTAAATGTCATTTTCTGCACGTTTGCAATTCAAATCTTGATTCCCCAAAATGTGTGTTTCAGAAATCAAAAATTAACTGGAAGACTAGGAATATTCAAAAATTATGAAGCACAGTTTTTAATCTAGGTCTATTTCACACCCTCAAATATTTTTTTAAGTATTTTGAAAATGTTAAAAATCGCGAAAATCCACTGAAAAATACATTCGTGTATTTTTTATACTGGAATTTTCAGTCCTTTTATTTCCCATGGTTCTCTAGTGGATAGTCTTTCCTGCCACTGGCTCCCCAACCTTCCTATCTCTTCTCTTTCACCCTCTTCATTCTCCAGGAAATTATTTTGTGTCCCATGTTCCCTCACTTCTCCTGCTGCCCCTAGTGTGCTGTGGAAATTGACGGCGACAGCACTTGGACATACAGTTGCGTTCGTTCCACTCACCTCTTCTACCTTGTTTCCCCTCCGCTTGCTCTCCTAACAAGTCATTTTGGCAGGTTGTAGGGTAACTAAAAATCAAATCGATTTTATTCAACACCTGATGCAAACCTCCAAATTGTATTTTATTGATTTATTTGTGATGTTTCTGATAGTGCTTTCATGAACAAGACTTGTTAATGACAGTGCGTCACGGGATCTGAAGCTGGGACGTTTCGCAGCCGCTATTGTTCAAAGTCAAACAATTTCAGGTAAAAATAGATTTTCTGGTATTTTTCTTGAGGTTTTTGCGCATTCTTAATAATGTTAATCACATTTGGAGCCCAACTTATCTAATAACTATCATAAAGACACATAATCACATGAATGAGTTATTAGGTTGGTAAGAAAGTTTCTTCCTTTTTTGGCAAAATTTTTAACCCGATTTTCCTTAAAGCGGATAGGGCTATATCAATGAAAGTAACGTCCATGAGCATCGATAGTTGTCTGGCAATGCTTTGGTAATTTCTTGATTCCGTTGGCCTAGAACGAAGAGGGCTGAGATTGAAAAAGCGAGCCAACTCCTTTTTTGTGTCATTTTTTCGATTGAAGTTTTTTCTATCTATATGACGTTCAAGAGCCCCAAACAATTATTTGTCTGAAAGGGCAAGGCCTGGAGAACACAGCGGTTGCAAAAGAATAGTTCAGCCTAGCGACATGAATTTTTGGCTGATCCCTCTAGTCACTGGTGATCTCTCATTGTCGCCCTGGAAATGAACTTCGGATTTTTCTCATCGAGCTAGCCCTTCTTTGTTAATCGACTGACCCTTCCGCACATTGTCAGAGTAACTTACACACTTCTCATATACGGTAGTTAGATCATCGAACGTGCGAAGAAATGATAGATGAAACAAACCCATGTCTACATGGCGAAACATATTGTAGTTCGGAAAAACACGGGGTACAAATCCACCAAGATTTTGACTTTGCCAAGAAACTTCAATCCGTTCACAAAACTTGATTGACTAGAGGACAATGCCTGTGACATTTTACAAATGGTTTGAAATGGATCCACCTCCCCTGTTTTCAGCAATTGATGAAAATCCGACTCACTAGGCCGTTGCTATCTTTCAAACTGAACTCCCCTGGGCGCGGAATATTTTGAACTAAACACAAATTGTAGGCAATGACCGAAAATGTCCTTGCGAATACCAGGTGTTTAAAGACCAAATCAAAATAAAAATATAATCATGTTGCGAATGTGCAAGGACCGAAAGAATCGTCATTTCTCCAATACGAAGTGAGATCAAAAATAAATATCTGCAACCTAATAGACACTGAACATAGCACTCCGACAAAAAAAATCTAATACGAAACACCACTTTAATAACCAGAAATCGGAACTCAAAAACAACGGTGCCAAAAAGAAAGAAACTTTCTTACCAACCTAATATTTTTCAGTTATTTTTCTAAAATGTGTCTAATGCTCTCATCCACTGTTAGGAATGAAAAATAACACAAAAAAGTGCCGGAAAAATATTGTTTAAACGTGAAGTTGTTCTAACAAATAGCGGCTTCAGAGACGTCGGGCTGCGAAACGTCCATGCTGCGAGACGGCTCAGCAGCGAAACATTTCGCTACAAAACGTGCTGGAGCCCTAAAACCAGATCGAGGGTATTAACATCTGCAATAAAAATGGAATGTTATCTAGACGATTTTATTAAAACCAAATCAACTCATTAAAATTGTTACCCGAGTATAAACTTCAGACATTTAGACATGTTTACAGAGCTCGCTTCAAAACTTTCCCATTTGCTAGGGAACAATCTACAGGGAGTTCTGGTGACAACGGAGACAATCCAATGTTCCATCGTGGCTTCAATTCATCTCCTCTCCCGTCGGAAGGTAAATAGTTTTATTTTTTTATTTCAACGAAAAGAAGAAAACCTCTTAAATACATTGATTAAAATTTGATTCTTGTTATAAAAACCGGCGAAATCGAAATTCCCAAAAATCCGGAGTGGAGGATTTTTCGGAATGAAATTTGGGCCGGAATATTATTCGAGCAAGAAATTTCTGAATAGAATCAGCTTCTTTTTTAAATGAAACGTTTTTTTTTCAAGTTTTAAAATACTAAATTCCAAAATCTACCGATTTCGAGTTTCTGAATTTCCGAGAATTCCAAAGGTGCAAAGTTTTGAATATTCAGAAAAATTTAGAATTCCGATTTCGAAAAGTTTGGAGTAATTTTGTAATTTTGAAATCCAAAAGATGGGCATATTTCTGAAATTCCGCAACTCCGAATTTAAAAATTTCGCAACGTAAACGTATTTTCTTCAAATTCGGACTATTTCAGAGTTCCATCCAGATGTCGACAATTTGGGAATCGTGTACCCAGCTGACTCGTCTTCATCCTCTCCGTTGCCTATTTCTTTTTGTATGCATTTCAAAACCATTTTAACACTTAATAACTTATTTCTCCAGATACCAATTGTTCTACCAGAGTTTGCACGCCGATTCCGGTAGACGACAACTTGGTTGTGAACCCAGCTGGCTCATCATCACTCTCTCCAACAATTAGTATGTATTTTGATATTATTTGAAAGCTCGATAACTGAGTTTTCCAGATTCCAATACCCCTAATACTCCGAATCCGGACGTCGACAATTCAGGAATCGTGAATCCGCCCAACGCCAACGTGGAGATTCCTCCACCCATGTTGCCCCTATCAGGAGGCAACTCATATGGCCGCCCGAATATTTTTCAAATATTCAACAACCGTATGAGGCTCCCTCGAAATACACCCGGCATCAAGCTAGATAATCTTCGTCTTATGCTGGCCCCTCCAGGACTCAACAACTGCCAGAATATTTTTCGAATATTCAGCACCCGTATGGGATTCCCTCGACGTTTGGTCGATGGGGGAGCATTTTCGCACAGCCCAAATTCCCTTTTTGTTCTAGTCAATCCACCTCTTCCAGCAAACATTGAAGAGAATCCTATTTCAGAAGGTTATACTGTTTTGTAGAGTTTGTTGTGTTTTAACTGCTATCGAATTTCAGAGAGGAACAACTAGGACGAGCGGCGGATCAAAACGAGCAAAGACAAATCATTTCTGAAATTGTTCTTTTTTTTCAAAATTTCCCTAGCCCATGACTTTTATCCTCTCATTTTGCCCAATTCATTGTTTTTTCCCATACAATTTCTCAATTCTTTGATTTTTTCTGACTCATAATTTCTCGAATCCGATGAGGAAATCCATAATTTCAAACAATAAAAAATCGTGTTATGGAATTATATCTTCCACTTCAAATCAATATTTTCGTATCACTCCATCAAATCTTCAACTTCTGAGACCTTTTCAACCCAAAAAGGCCCCCGCTCCAAAAATAAAACCGAGTACATACATGTGAGAAAAAAGGAGCTGTTCTTCCTAGCAAGTCCGTATAGTTTCCTTGGAGATGAGTCATAAAATTTTTAGATGTTTTCCAATAGGATATTGCATCGGGTTTTCCTTTGCTTGGGTGCTCATTCCCGTTTCTTTTTTCATAAAATCGAAAAATTCGACAAATAAAAACGCTATTTAAAAATAACAGGAGTGTTCTAACAAAACGCTAGCCTGAAAATTACTGTTCAATTATCTCGGTTGCTGTGAATGATATCGAGGACTTGTCAACTGATAAAATGGCATTCTACCACAGTCACTTTTGAAACTGCAGCTTTTTGAAACCTATTTCAGAAATTGACTTAAATTCGTTTAAAATGCAACTAAAGGGTTATCTACAACAAATTTGATAGTGTCGGAGAGTACAATATGTAGACATTTATTCAATACCGCGCTCTTCCTGAATTTCTTGTTTCAAAGCCACAGCTGGGAATGGAACGCAAAAAATATTAGTTTCTTCTTGTTTACGTGAAACATTTTTCATGGCGAAAGTATGATTTCATATTGAACCAGACATAGACCATCTGTGTTACCGAGCGGTCCCATTTGTTGTTATTACTCGGGAGAACGAATGCGCAATTCCATATTATTTCGAAATTTGTGACACATTCGTTTCCTGACACATTCGTTTTTTTCCAAATCAATAATATCATTTGTTTTTTTTTGTTTTTTTTTTTGCAGAAATGATAGCGCATATGGACTTGTATCACAGAAACTGTGAATGGGTAAGGTTACTTTGACAATGTTTCATTAAAAAAATGTTTTTTCCAGCAACTCCTTGACATCCCGGAGAGTTTCAAAGAAGTTCCTGGATATCAGATGTGGAAGGACCACTATCGTAACGTTCGTGTCAACTTGTATCCGTATTCTACTCTACAGTCGTTTGATTGGATCAAGCAATATCTTATTGCCGCGAGCAAAGACGCGAGAAATGCGGAAGACGTCAAACGCTATCGGACTAGAGCCTTCGGATCTCGTGAGAAAACTATTCCATCAAGGGGAAGCGCTTTCAAGCTTATCAAAGTCAAGGTGAGAAACTTTTTTGTGAATTGGAATTCGTGAAACTAGAAACAGTGTATTGTTGAAAAATACGCAAATTCAAAACTGCAGTATGGTATTGAGGGATGTTATATTTTGACTTTTTAAAATAAAAATTAATCAACTTTGGAGTCCTGAAAAAAACTTTCCGATGAAATATTTTGATAAAAATGTCTGGAAAATAGAGGACCCTTGTAATTGAAGGATCCTTCTAATAGAAACAGTTGAATCGAAAAAATTTCAATTTAAACTTCAAAGTTGGCAAACTACCTGTCACAGAAAAAAGTCAAAACATGTTACATTTAAAACTGTCAGCTCATCTGATAAAAATATTTTCCAGAGAAATTTCAACTCCAAGCTGAGAATCGAACACAACCATATGTGGACACGGCCTCCACATCGCCTGCTCACATGGTTCAACGGAGCAATCAAACTAGAGCAAGATCCCGATGGAACAAACAATTACCAAGAACAAATTAAAAACTGGCTTTCCCAACATACTCTCAACTCTGGAAACTTGGTTGCAAGCGCTGAAGAGCTCGCGAAGGATCTCGAAGCTTTTCGATCGCTTGTGTTCATGCGCATTGGGAAATGGAATCCTGTAGCTGATGAGTTCATGGTAATTTTTATGCAGGTGTCATTTATCTATTGAAAATATATTTTTAGCTGACAGCTTGCCGCTATTTGAGATTCAATTGCAACGGATGCCCTATTGAAAAACTGTTCAACCAGGTTGCTCCAAACAGTCCCTTACAGTCTACTGTTCTGCAGCCAGAGTAAGGGGAGATATGAATCACCAAAAACAAATCTAAAATTTTTTAGTGATCTCGAGAAGGGAACGGTGATTCAAGTGGAGATGTTGAGAAACGTGTTGATGGTTGATTACACCATTTACTATGTTGTTGTGAAACACATGCGCGATTTGGAGGATTACTTTGTGCAAGAGATCCGAAACGCTCCATCGCAACAAGATATTGCAAAATTTTTTGCAAGCGTTGAAGATAACTAGTCATTCACTTCTAACAAATTTTTACCCGAAAATTGCAACCAAATTGCTCATTATCATTTGAATTTTGCCTCTTTTTTTTCTCATCCAAAATCCCACTCTACAGTACCGCTCAAAAATTCATCAATTTTGCCTTTTTTCATTCAAAACGGGCAACTTTCGACTTCTAATAATCATAAGCAATTGAATGAGACAGAAAATTGTCAGGTCTATTAAACCAAACAAAACTTCAATTTTGTAATTCACAGCTTTTTTGACGAAATTCATCCATATGAGATGAACAGCTTGAAAGTGCCAAAATTCCGATTTCCGCGCTGTTTCTGGATGTTTTGGTATTTTATTGGTTTCAAGCAGTAAATGTATGTCATATGGATGAATTTGAAAAAGTTGTGAACTACAAAATTAAAACTTTTCTTGTAAACCTGAGACTCATATGGAAAAATTTAATATACGGCAAAAGTACGTGTGCATAAACAAGTCCATGTAACTTTCTTCTAAGTAATCGAAAAATCTGAAACTGCAGGTAGATTATTTCAACGCTGAAATTTTCCAATAACTTTGGTTTTTAAAATTATCTCTCTTAGTTTTCCCGCTAGGATCGGAAGAGTGGTTGATTACGTAATGCTTGAGGCACGAAGCTTTTTTCAAATTTACTCGTTTCTACCTCTCTTACTGGTTATGCTGAGACTTTGAAACTTTGATTTCTAAAAACTATGAGTCCTGTTCATAACGTGCATGAAATATGAGACTGTATTATTTGCTAATCAATGAAACAGGAGGCGTTCAAACTTGCATAGGCAGTTTGATGAATCTGTGTTTTGACAGCAAAACTGTTCAAAGCGGCAGAAGGTGAAGAGGAATTTTCCTAGCATTAGGAAAACTATATTTTACGATAGGGTATAAAAAGCTTATCAAAATATCTATCTCATCCCAAAAGAAAAAATTATGCTTTCCAAATTTTGAACGGTCAGCGGAAAACCAGGTCTGAATAGTAAGTACAGATTGAAATGGAAGAAGTAGCATGTTTCTCGAAAACTACAATTCATTTTCATTATTGTAACATAGTTTGAACACTATTACTAGTTTCTGTTCGGTCTAAACTCATGCTCGAATAAAAGTAAAAGAAGTTGCGTGCCAGCATTACCTTGAAATATGAGTTCATTCGGTCGAAAGCTTTAATGCTTAGCTAGTGTTGTAAAAATTGTGTTGTGAAATAGAGTGTCAGATAAGGATTTGAACAATATTTTGGCTCATCAAGCTGGCCCCTTACCCAGAGCGATATAGAAGCGGAAACTTAATTTTGGCCACTTTCGAGCAGCTTACACTTTCGAGCAGCTTAAAAAATGTTCTTTTTAAGTTCACTTACAACCTACTCGGAAACCCAAAAAAAAGACAGTCCAAATAAGAGTAGAAATTCTGAGGTTGTGAATTCAAACGGTTGTAACTTATGAATGGGTCATGGATTTTTTCAAAAAGATATATGTAAAATGTCTTTGAGTATCAACTTCAAGTTGTTTCGGCCCTGTATGGCAAATGACAATATGGATTTTTTTGCTTCAAAGTTATGCACACGTACTTTTGCCACACCCTGTACCCTCATTTCTCTGATAGAAGCCCACTCTGTAGGTGCACTTCGAGCTCAATTATCTCGGTTCCCATATGAGATATCAGAAATCTCTCAAGTTGTAAAATATTGGTGGTAACATGACAAACCATTTATTAGTTAACAAATGTATGATATCTCTCACAGGAATCAAGATAATCGAGCTCAAAGTGAACGCATAGTGTCGACTTGAATCAGATCAAATACACGCTATTTCAAAGAAACTATCCGGAAAACGTCCCGGGTAAACCTAAGAATCCATGTCAACTTTGAAATTATAAAATTTCCTCTGGCCTCTAAGTTATCTCGGGCACGATTTTTGACACGTTGTTTTGAAATAGCTTGCAAATACGATTTTTTAAGCAACCAAAGTTAACTAACTGCTAAAATTGTCCATTATGTGATTTTACTTTGTACATTTTTCTTGTAAATAGTTCCAAATAAACTCTTGATTTCAAAGTTTAACTTCATTTCCATAACACAAAATCGGGCATTCAAAACTAGTTCATTTGTTCAAAATGTCATTCAACACAGAAAAACGCTTCTTTCTCTTGAAAATAGTCCAACTCGATGCGGAAACACTTGAAGATCCGGCTCCAGATGATGCAACTTTTTGGTAGTTGTTCACAGTTTCAAAACCTGGAAGCGAACTAGTCTTTTAGTTTTAAAGCTTGAAAATATTACCATTAATATTACTAATCATTGATAAGCTGTTAACATGAGTGTTGTTTCCATCGGCAGAAGCAATTCCGTTAACTGTTCCATCTGAAAGCACAAAACTAATCGAGTATTATTCCATAGACTCACTTCTCTGAACTCCGTCCTTTTCAACATTGAGTACTGCTCTGGTATCTGCTAGTATGGGCCCAGTTCCGGTACCATATGCCTGCATAGACGAATTTCCATTCATAGAATCCCCGTCCATTTCCACGAATCCTTGGCCTGTTACATTTGAATCTTTTCCACTTGCAGCTCCAACACCATTTGCGTATCCACCTAGAACTCTTTAATGAGACAAATTTTTAATGATTTCTACCAAAACTAGAGTTCCGCCATCCTCCTACTAATCCGTTGTCACTGAAAGAGAGCGATGAATTTTTGCCGTCATGGGAAATTGATTGACCATCACTTTGTGCAATGATTCTAAAAGATTCCAGATATGAGGATCTGTAAAATGTATACAACTTACTTGACAATTCCACTCGGATCTACTGCAGTCTCTACGGTCTGAGAAGCTTTCGAATTTTCATCAGTTCCACTTCCTTTAATGTTTCCAGTTCCCATAAATGCTGAAAATCAGATTCCTCAAAACTGCCTAACCACATTCATCAAAACCTGCATCATTGTTAGAGTTCACAAACTTCAATCCATTACTTGCCAAAATGTTGTTATCCTTTCCTTGCCCTTTTCCGCTGATATGCACTACTCCAAGGCCACCCTGAAAACCAAATAAGCCGGGTACAGTAAGTTTTTCTCACCTCTCCTTCAATATTAGTGTTGGACATCAGATTCACTGAAGTGTTACCACTGGAAAACGCATTGGAGTTTCCGAATGCTTGGATTTCTGGAACGAATAACTTTTCAGGTCAGAGGTCCTGATTCAGAAAAAAAAAATGTACCTCCAAGACTGTCAGACTGGTTACTAACAATGGAGCTAGCCCCAACCAAAGTGGAATTTCCTTTTCCTGATGACATTCCATACATAGTTCCAACAATTTGCTGGTCAGTTCCATTAATTATTCCGTTTCCTTTCACAAGAGTGTTCACTGTTCCTTGATTAGAGTTCAATCCGGAGACTAATCCACTGATTGTAATATCTGGAATTCACTTCGCATGACGAGAACTCAAAAGTTTGCTTACTCTTATTTCCAGAACCAGTTCCCATGTCCAGATTTGATTGTGCGCTTCCCAAACCAGTAGATGCTGCTACTGCCATAATTCTAGCCATCAACTGGTCCCAGCTCATTACCTGCTGAGTTTGAACTTCAGCTTCCGTTTTGATCGATCCTGTTCCGCCAGCATTTCCATACGAGAATCCATTTTCTGAAACCAACGTTTTCCATGGGACTTTGTAAAAGCTTCATACTATTTTCTCCATTGAGATTTTGCATAGAACTTCCACCATTCACATTTGACAATGTTGCTCCTTGTCCCGCCACTCTTCCCTAATAAAACTTTATTAAACCAATTTCCCTAACAGAATTCCAACCTGTTGCATCACATTCGAAGTTATTTTCTCGCCGTCTACAGCTGCGAAAATGTCCGAGTAGGATTTAGAAATATCGCCGACCGACATAACATTTGCCACGTTGTCAACGCCTAAAAATTTGGTTATTGATTCGTTGACTCAGAGTTTGACGGCACTTGTATCTCCAACGTTTCCCCCAGCTGATGTTTCAATGTTTGTGGAACCGGTTCCCGTTGAGTTCCCGTTAGCAGTCACGTTCATTCCAAGAGAACCATCTGGGTTCTGAAAATGGAATCATTGGCTGAAACTGAATATTTTTCTAGGGGAACCCTACTTTGAAATGTTGAGTTGATGCATCCGTCATCACACTATCCCCATTTCCATCAGTAGAAGCATCTGAGCCAACAGCTGAATGCTCTCAAATCAAACTACAAATTTCATTAGCGGAAACCCACATATCTGCCGTTTCATTCTGGAACTTCTTGAAATTAATGATCCATCAACAAAACTGATATAAAATAGGAAGAGTAACGGGAAGAGGCGCATTTTGAACTGGCGGGGAATGTGGTGGCAATATCGTGTTTGTCCATGTTCGCGTGTCGGTCGACGATCAAAATTTTTTGTTCAATTTTTTATGGCGACCAAAAAAAGGAGATGATCCCGTATGAGAGTCTGAAAAGCCGGCGGATTACAACAGTCCAAATGGTTATCGCCCGTTTTTGCCTGTGTTAAGTTTAAAATTATTTTGGCACACGCGGGAGACGAAGGAAATGTGAATTCAAGAAACAAAAATATAGAAACTAGGACGCGAATAAATTGTTTTAATTTTCTAATTCTTCCACCTCTCGAGTGGGGTGTTTACCTAAAAACTTTCAAAAATATTTGAGAAAATATTTGAAATATGAAGTTTCATACAATTCTCATAGAAAAACAACAAGTTTCATGATCTGAAATGTCCTAGAAGTTGAGAAAATTTTCTACAAAAATTGTTTTTTTTTTTTGAAAAAAGGTTATTGGTACAGAAACTGGCCACCGGATTCTGAAATTACGGAAATATCTAGACAAGGCTTTTTTCAGTCTCTCCTAAAATTCTCATAGTCTGGGTTTCAAAACGTAGAGATTTCCTTGGAATTCCAACACATTTTTTAAATAGAAAAAAGTTGAATCCTGACTACAAACTACAAAAAGCAAGAGTGAATCTTGATCTTTCTATTATCTCTGTTGTTTACATCTAGAGGTCAAACTGCGAAGACATCATATAAATAGAAGGGAGAACAAAGAGAGATAGACGTGTGGGCAACTTTTCTTACATTGCTATTGATTTGTTTTTATTGCACAATATTGGACAGATCTGTGTTCAAATTGAAAAAAAAATAGTTGGCAAAAGAAACTCCAGTATTTAATTTTTCTCATTTTTGAGTTGGATTTCGCAATACTACTTAAATGCTTCCAAGTTTCTTTTAAACATTCTATTTTTCCAGAAATCTGAAAAATGCCAAAACACTACGACGTTGTTGTCGTAGGTGCTGGCATTTTTGGATCATGCACTGCTTATCACTGTCAACGTCTAGGGCTGCGTACTTTGCTCCTTGAGCAGGTTAGTCTCTTTGTTATATTCTTCTCAGTATTTCAAACTTTTAGTTCAACATTGGTCACGCAAATGGAAGTTCACATGGAAAAAGTAGAATCACTCGGTATGCTCACACAGATCCGGAATACGTGCCACTTGTTGGGGACTCCTACAACCAGATTGCAGAGTTAGAGGAGAAACGAAAAGAGAAACTATGGAAGTCAGTGGAAAAAACCAGTTTTCATTATTATACTTTCGATTTCAGCAAGTTAGGTTTGTTATGGGCGGCTACTGGTAATCAAGTACACACCATATCAGGTCATTTGAAAAAGCACCACATTGAGCATGAAGTTATCACTGGGAGCCAGGTAAATGATTCATTAGGTGATTCATTTTAACATCAAAATTTTAGATTTCTGAAAGATATCCACAGTTCAAATTCGATGAAAAATGGACGGGACTCATAGATCCAATGGGAGGAGTCATCTATGCCAACAAATGGTTGAAAGCTTTTCAGGTATTCATGAGAGCACCTTTTTCTTTAACTTCGCCAGTTTTTAGGAAGAGTTCAGGAATCTGGGCGGAACTATTCGAGAAAACGAACCCTTGATTTCTCACACAGAAGACACAACTTCTCCATTAGCTATTAAAACTAAAAATGAAAGTTATACTACTAAGAAGTTGATTTTCACAGTCGGCTGCTGGATTACAAAATTCTTTCCAAATGTGAATTTCAAAATAAAAGTGAGGATATTTTCAAATATATTGAGAATATCGACTTTTTAGCCTATCAGCTTGGCAGTTTGTTATTGGAGAGCCAAAGAGGAATGCGACAGCCATCTTCTTGATGAAAACAATTTTCCATTGTTGATCGCAAAAAATCACGATAAGAAAGAGTTTTATTTTGCATTGCCGGACACTGACTATCCAGGAGCAATAAAGGTAGTTGAAAAAAATTGGGTTCAAAAAAGTAACCATAAAGAATTTTAAGCTTGTCTTGGATGATGGCGACGAACTTATGGGAGATTTGAGCCATCCTAGGAGAAACAATAAAAGCTTCATTGAACTTCCTGGTAACTTCATTTCGAATCATATTCCAGTGGTAGACAGTGCAAAACCGTTCAAAGTGGACCAGTGCAAATATACAGTCAGTTCAGATTTGACCTATTAAAAGAAAATTTTCTAATAGAATTCTCCCGACCATCACTACCTAATTGGACCAGTCTCTTCTAAAAACCCCGACATTCTTGTTGGCGGATGTGGATCAGGATCGGGATTCAAAACTGCACCAGGCATTGGAAGAGCTCTTGCAGAGATGGCAGCTGGAAAACCAACAACTGTGGAAGTTTCGTTCTTTTCTCCTAGTCGATTTGGAGAATCAGTTTAAAATTCGAAATTTTGAATAAATAAGTTTGGTCAGAATGATTTTCAACATTTTCTTCCCAGTTTTAATCTGGGTCTACGTGTTCTGTGCCCTCAGTTGACCACGTTGAACTCAGATGAAAATCATACCACCAAACGTAAGCTCTTTTGTTTCGAGTGTCTTATCAATTCTCGGCGGAAACTTTTTACTGCCTTCAAAGTCACGGAAAGCTACAAAATACTTGAAAATTCCAAAAAACCAAAGTCACAAGACACATCGCAAACTGATATTTTCGGTTGATAGTATCGATTGTCACAAATTTTCTGATCTTCCTCCGATTATTATCGTTATCAAAATCAAACAGTGATAAGACCAGACCGGTCATTTCTCTCTCTGTTATTTTATTTCCTTCTCCATCTAGTGACGGTTACCTCCAACTAAAAATGACAACGGATTACGATGTTATTGTTGTGGGAGCTGGTATTTTTGGATCCTGCACTGCCTACAATTGCAAAAAGCTTGGACTGAAAACATTGCTTCTGGAGCAGGTTGAGTTCTATTCTGATTATAAACTTGACATCGAATAAAATTTGCAGTTTGATCTCGGCCATGGAAATGGAAGCTCCCATGGAAAAAGTAGAATCACTCGTTATGCTCATACTGAGGTCGAATATGTGGATCTTGTGGGAGATTCATACAGTCAAATCTTCGAGCTGGAAAGAATTCGTGGCGAAAAATTGTGGAAGTTAGAGTTTTACGATAGGAAGGTATTCAAAAATTTATTTTTCAGAAAAACTGGTCTACTTTGGGTGTCTACTGGAAACGAAGTAGAGAAGATTCACAATAACCTAAAGTCGAAAAACATCGAACACGAAGTTGTGAAAGGATCCGATGTAGAGAAACGATACCCTCAATTTAACCTCAACGATGAGTGGAATGCTTTGATTGACCCAATGGGAGGTGTCATTTATGCTGATAAGTGGCTCAACGCTTTTAGAGTATGCTTTGTAGCTTTGAATATTGAAATTTTATACCTGTGCTTGTAGGATGAATTCAAAAGGATGGGTGGAATTCTTCATGATCGTGAAACTGTTCTCTCCCACACCGAAGTAGGCGACAATTTGTCTGTGGTCACCAACAAAGCCAAATACACAACAAAGAAAATCGTTTTTACCGTTGGATGCTGGATCACGAAGTTCCTTCCAGACGTAAAGTTCAATATTGAGGTGTGTAAGAATTTTCTGAATTCTGTTATTCACAAAACTTTTATAGCCAATCAGCATTTCTGTGTGCTACTGGAAAGCCAAAGACAATTCAGATAGTTTTTTGCTTAACGAAGATCACTATCCAGTTGTGATTGCTCAAGAGATGGACCTGAAAGTTTTCCACTACTCTCTGCCGGATACTGACTATCCAGGAGCCATCAAGGTAAGGTCCAGATACAGAATTTATTCTCAATAAGATTTTTCAGTTTTGCTATCACTATGGCGATGCCCTCACCAAAGACTTGCAACATCCGGAGAAGCGGTCTCAGCGTTGCATTGACCTTCCAGCGAAATTCATTCAGAAGTACATGCCAGTGATTGACGGTTCAGCTCCAGTTAGAGTTGACAAATGCATTTATACGGTAAATTGAATGAAATATCAATCGCTTCAAATATTTAACAATTTCTAGAACTCACCCGACGATCACTATATCGTTGGACCAATTCCATCCAAGAATCCGAACATTTTGGTCGGAGGTTGCGGATCTGGATCTGGATTCAAAGTTGCTCCAGGAATCGGAAAAGCTCTAGCTGAGATGGCAGCTGGCAAAAAGACGACTGTTGACGTTTCGTTCTTCTCAGCAGCTCGTTTCAAACCTTCTAAAATTTAATATTTGTTTTTTCTCTTGAGTTTAACGAAATATAAATAATTTGTTGTCTTATCTTCGAAGTAGGATTTCGGGGGCTTTATCGTGAATGGTTCGTTCAGCAGCGTCTGGAATTTTAAGTGTTTACTGGATGTTTTCTGTTTACAGTGAGCGAAATCACCGACGAAAATATATTTTTTCCGAAAATGACAAAAACCATCAACTGAAATCAGCTCAAAATTTTTACAAAGTTTTAGACATGGCACTGACATCAAAATGGGAAAAAACCGTGGTTCGCCATGTTTGGATTCATGATCTCATTAATCGGTCTGTTTTTCATAAACTTTCTTTGTCTTGTTTCTGTTTTTATTATATTTGTGATTCGTAATTTATTTAATTCAAAAATTATAAATGGCACATGAAGCTCCGTAATCTCCCTCCACGAGCCCACTCGGTGATTTTGGAAAAAGGCACAACGATGGCAGCGGGAGGAAGAATTCAATAACGCCTCTCGAGTTTATGACAAATCCAACTCTCTTATTAATCCAGGATATAAATTCATGGCCCTTCAAATCAAAAATCTCAAATTTGAAAAAAAATACCCGTGAGCAGAGAGAACTTTCTTCTTTTGCCAAAGCATGGGTTTATTAGTCACATGTCCTTTGCAAAGGCTAAACTCGCTGCACCCTCCGCACTATATTCCTTGCACCGGTTTCGCAAAACGCACAACCAGGGAACGGGCCGCGGGCGCCTTTCTCTGTCTTCTTACCTTCTTTGAATTTGCCCGTTATTCTCACTTTTAACTTCAGATCGAGAGAATGGAGATAGTGATTTTTTAATTATTTTTGTTCATGCAAAAACTTTTCCTCGTCTTCCCTCATGCTAGATTACTTTAGTACTAATTTCGAGTGTTTAAGATATTCAAAACATTGTGGGCAAACACAAATGATCTCACAACCCACAAATCTATGTAGGTAGCATTTTTTGTTTGACCAGTATGCAAAATAGAGCACGTAGCAACCCCCCGATGCACTCTCTCAACGAATTATAAAACGTGGGAGCGACGGAGTGCAAACGAACGATCAAACGAACCATTCACTTTCTTTTTCTTTTCCTTTTGCATGAATCATTATTGATTTATTTTTCGAACAAGTATACCTTTAACAGATGTTGTATATCGTTCTGACGGTTATTGTCGTCCTTCTCGGAATGTGGAAATTCCGCTGTAACCCGAATATCACTCCGTACGAACTAGACTTCAACTCACCAGTCCTTACAATTGGAAAACAAGTAAAGCGATATATTCCTAAATGTTCTGTTATTTTGAAAATTTGGCTTCCTATCTGCATTCTAGTACCTGTGAAAACAATCCGAGGCCAGATCACTATTCTTGGACTGTGGATCACCATGTGGATAAAGTGAGTTTGCGTTCTAGAAAAAGGGATTATATAGCAACTTGTTTTTTTTAAATCTATCTTTAATAGAAAATCATTGTTTACATTCGATTCGAGCTGAACTTTTTTTGATACCTATGAGAGACTTCATGAATATGTTAATTGAAAACATATTTTCCCATAATATCAAAAACATTTTTGGAAGATACCTGACATTTCTTATAGATGTTGAAATAATTCAGCTCAAAGAGTAAGTGTAGGGCGGAGATCAATAAGAGTATTTGTAGAAAAATTCAAAACTACTAGACAAAACTACTGGTTGAGTATAATGTTTTGTTTTCAGCGATTATCACTACCCACCAACACCCCCTTTCGAAACTTCCACCGAATTTTCCCTCAGTATGTTACGAAATCTCTGGCATGAGGCCATGCACATAACTTTTGTGCTAGCCCTGTGGATGGAAGAACCAACCGAGTACACTATTGATGCCTTTATTGTAATGACATTTGGATTGGGATTGTTCATCGGAGGTTTTGTTGCAAAAACCGATTTCGATGAGCAAAATCATATTTCAAACATTCTGTTGACGGATCGCCTCTTCCAAAGAAATACAGGTATTTTTTTCCAAGTTTTTGGTGGATTTGTTTTTTTTTCAGATATGACACTAAACCAAAAAGTTCTCTGCACTCCTCATCGGGCTTGTATCATCCAGCACATAGGGTTAGCATTTTTGAGTGGAAACAAAGTTTTCTACTGTTATTCATGCGTCATTTCCGTAATTCTGACAATTCGTGCAATCAGGATTCACAAGTAAGCTATCAAACTTCGAACCAAGAAAAACATTATTTTTCTTATAGGAATATGACTGAAGTAGTTCCAAATGCGGTCGGCGGACGAAGCGCGTTGCTAGAGGAATTCAGTGATGCTCGCATCCATCAAGGTCGTGTTGTCGTCAATTAATTCGTATGGAACACTGGTTTTGTTGTGATCTGAAATTTGATCGATCTTTGAGTATTATTGTTTTGTTAACGGTTTACAAAATTCACTTTTCTGTAATAGTTCACTCATAAATTTCTCTTTCTACTTGGATCTCTACTTGGACTACCTTCGCCATTTCGTGATCTTTTGGATATTTTCCAACTAACTGACGACAATTTCATTCTTGAGGGTAGAAGTTTTTGTAACCTCACTAATTAATACTTTTGGGAGTTTTCGATCATTTGAAATCTTGCTCTCTACTTTCTGATTCACCAGAATTCGCGTCTAGTAACACTCATTACCAGAATTGTGAAAAAATGAATGAATAAATTAGAGAACTTTTTCCTCACACAATTAGAACAATACTATGTAGGTGCTGAAGGTTACGAGCTTGAAGAGTTTATTACCTCCTGACACTTAACCTGAAACAAAATTCGCGCCAAAAAATGATTTGACGAGTAATGTGGTTCTTCCGAACAGGTAAATAGTAGAGACATAGGGTTGTATGAATCTTCCCTAGCTCCTTATTTTCTAATTTACGTTACCTGGAAGGGCTTTTCGAGAAAAATTATTTCTACCCAAACTAATTCATAAACTGCGGCCTGTCCCAGCACCTCATATGTTTGAAATCCACCCCCCCCCCCATTTCATTTTCTAAAAAAGTTGTTTATAATTTTTATTCCAATTTATTCGTGACGTTTATTTTCCACAAAACTCGTTAGCATTGTTTTTAACGCAGGCAGCTCCTCGAATCGCACTAATTAATACATTTGGGAGTTTCTAAGTCTCTGAATCTTGTCCTCTCTACTATCTGGATTACCCATATAAAAAGAGCTCGAGACTCTCATTTCTCCCACATTTTGATAATTTTACTTTGGTTCGCGTCTTTCCATTGTTTTTCGAGTAGCTATGGCAAAATACATGGATGCAACAAACCAAACAGTTGTAGGAAGATCACCTTATTATTCGCAAACTGCCTCGCCTCCTATTTTCTTGGTTCTTTACATGATGTTCGGAAGTGTTTATATTTTTTCCAAGATGGCGACTGACTTTCCTGTATCATTCCCAAAAGTTGGTCCACATGAAAAGTATGCCGTTCGTGTGTCGAAATTCCGTGTCTCAAAAAAATTAACGTTTCCTGTTGTTTTTCTCTTTGCGTCTTTTATCTACCTGTTTTCTCATAAGTTAAATATGGCACCTATTTTTCTTTTTTTGTACAGTCAATTTTCGTAAGTTGGTTGAACGTTGGTCATTCGAAAAAATTCCCATTACAGATTTTTGCTATTTTTCAAGTTTGAATTCAACTATTACGAAGAATACATGGGAAAACGATATATTCACGTCTCTGAACTATGTTCTAAAGTAATTTACAACATTCTAATTTCAACTCCTCTTTGCTTCTGTGATATCAATCAAACTAATTTCTCTATCTATGAAGCTGGAGTTTTCATTTTTGGTCTTTTTCTTTTCTTTATTGGAGCATCAGTGAAGTTGATTCTTGACACTAACATCCTGTTCCGTTCGGCGCGGTTTTGGCTTCATCAAGGTATGAGGTAGACTACCCGCTATATAAAAAATATCACTTTTCAGTACTGTTAGATAAGTACTTTCTGGCCCCAAAAGAGATCGCAAGTGCTATCCAATGGTATGGCTTTTTTGCGCTTACTCAATCCAGCACTTCATTCGGATATTTTTTCTACATGTTTTTAATTGCAGTTGCCGAACACATCAGTATCCATAGGTGAGGGTATATTCACTGAATGCATTTGAATAACAAATTTTTTCAGACAAAGAATGAACCCCAACGCAACAGAAATGCGAATCTTCTACATAACTGCGCCAGACGACAATGGTTACCACTCCCTTGACTAATGACTCGAGAATGAGGAGGATTTCCTTTATTAATGTTTCGAAATTTTCAAACCGATTCGATTGCTTTCTTTTTTTTCAAATCATATATTTATTAATATTTGTCAGTTTTATAATACATCATTTCAATATTTCTACAAAAAGCCCATTCGTCAAAGTTAAAATTTTTTGAGAAAAGTAGTCAGGCGCAACCCGCTAGTTGATGGTTTTGAAGGGAAAAAAGTTAAGTAATGCAAAAAAGGAGTGATTTTTCGAAAAAAAAAAATAATTTAAGCGACTTTGTTAAAGTTTCCACGGAACATTCTCATAAATGCCGATCGGAATTGACGATTCGCAAGAGCATAGGCAAACGGATTTCCACTACTATTCAAATAGCACATATAATATGACAAGGTGTAGAGGAAAGATGGAATGCATTCTCCTTTGCAGAATCCATACACTGTTGCCTGCAAATTTTCATTGTAATTAATTTTCAATTCTGTGACAAAAGATCACAAACCATAATGTAGTATGGGGACCATAAAATTGCAAAGAAACCCACGATGAATGTGATAGTTCTGAAAATTCAAAAATTTTCGAGTTTTTAGAAAATGGAGGGATACCTGAAAGCTTTATGCGCTCTTTTCTCCGCTTTCGTTTGTTTTCTTCCCCGATTAAACACAGCGATTGGTGCAAAGATGGATGAGATCACTTTCTCGCGAGTGATGACCGTAGAAATCGTCGAAATTTTTCTGGAGACTCTATAAATTAATCAGTCCAACACACAACTACCAAACAAAGGTGAAAATAGTTCTAGTGAAATCATCAAACACATTTGAAAGTGTGTATGTGTAGGTGCTAAAAAAATAAAAGAAGTATTGATTTTGGACATGCCGTGTTTCACATTTCACTCAATTCGAAACCTACCCAGAAGCGCTTAAGAACGTATCCGTCTTGTTGGGTGGTGCAAGACGGTCACGTTCTGGCTGTGCAGATGTTTCACCTCCACCAGCGTTATTGTTCACAGTGAGCTGAGGGACCTTGAGGCTGTTGTTACGGTTTTCCGGCTTCTCCTCGCCTTCGACTTCAGAGGAAGAGTCACTGAAAGAAAGAGGACAAAAGTGATTGATCATGCTTGATTACAGGAAAATAGAAGTTTTGTGATGAATTGATGGAACCCCGAATGTGAATAATAGAAGTTTGTTCTTTATAATTTCACAACACCGTTGCACATTATATTTCTGACTAATATTCGATGGAACTTTTTTAGAATAAATAGGAGAAGTTTACATATGTGATGTCTATTTTTTAAATATCTGCCATGAATTTCAGCACAAAATGCCACTGAAAAATGATAAATGAGAGAAACGTACTCGCTGTTGCTGCTACTTCCTCGTTCTTTTCTGGTACTTCGTCGACGGATTAACGCTCGTGCAATTCTCTTTTTCATCGAAACGACCCATCGGTCGGTTCGTTTCACTTCAATAGTCTCCGGCTGGTCGTCTTCCTAAAAAAAGCAAGGACTGAACTTATAAACAGAAATAAAATGATGTATAAAATTAAGTTTGAAATATTTGGCCTCTGTGTTCCTTAATCAAGACTTCAGAGTTATCAGATGCATATTTGTTGAATAATGACGATTAGCGTTAACATTCTGATGGAAAACCACCCAATACTTGCACTTTGAGATCAATTATCTCAATTTCTATGAGAGGTATACATAATGAGTCAACGGATAAAATGTTGGTGATATTATGGCAAACATTTTATCTGTTGACAAATTTCTGTTATCTCTCGAATGAATTGAGATAATTTAGCTTAAAATTCAAGTGAAGAGTGTCCACAACATATGTTTTTTGGAAAACTCAATCGCATTAATTCTGTAAATCTACAAATGTCAAATGTTTTCCACATTCTAAACTGTCTGTATATGAGAATTTTGTAATCTTCTAAATTGTGGACTCTCGTACTTTTAAATGACATTTTCTGACAGCAGAATCTCGTTTTTTTCTCGAAAACCCGGAAAATCCATACTGCCCCAAATTCTCACCTGTACAGGCTCTTCGATCAACTGTGCTGCCGCCGCTTCAGTCTGCTTCACCTTTGCAATTCGACCTGGCGTCGAATGCTCCGATCGTCGACTGGATCGTGGTCGCTTATTCTGAAAATTTTAAAGGTGGGGGGACAGGAGTTTTTTCGTAGTTTTTTTTGTAGCTAGAGTATGCATTCTACCGTCACGGTGTACAACGCTTAATGTTACTCTGCGTACAGCTGTCGTCCTCGCCTTTATGTATGCAATCGGGCGTGCGCTTTCTCTTTGCCCGCGTGGCTCAGTCGGTAGCGGCGCCGCACCCTCAATCATCGCCCTCACAAGTTCAACTCCCCGAGGGCATCTTTGAACGGAATTTCGAGAACATTAATTTTTTCATGTCCCCCCACCTTTAAAATCAAAGAAAACTTTTTCTGTTTTTTGCTACCTTTTTATATTTTCGACTTCTCTGCAAAATCACGGAAGTGGTATCACTATCATTATTAGAATCCGTATTCTTGAGTTTCTCATCTTTGAAATTGAGCACTGAGCCGAGCTCATCGTCGGCAAACAGTTTTTGTAGACTATCTGCTTTTTCAAGTTCTTTCTCTTCCTCATGTGTAGTCGTTATACTGCCAGACCCACTATATCGAGATCTGAACCATAAAACTTCAAAGTTTTTTTGAAATTCTTTAGGATCTACCTTAACGAAAGTCTTCCATACGACCTAATTGGTCGTGTAGCTGGAATTCCTTCACTTTCACTCAACAGTGAACTTTTCTCCATTTCACTACATCTTCGAGAATTGGCAGCCGTCGGATGCGGTCCTGGATAGTAGCTTTCGCCGCTTTCTCTGTAAAAACGTGACAAGTGCACATGTATAAGTCGCTTTCCCAGTCTTCAATTTCTTTGACACCTCTCCCCTACCTTCGAGAGAGAAATCCACTTCTTTCTTCTTCAATGACTCCGAGGTTTTGATCATTGTCGGTGTTCATCGAGCCCTGAAATTAATGGAAGTGAGTTCCCTCTCTAGTCAATTTTTTTCTTTCCGGCGGTATTCATAAAAGTACAATCTATAGACAAAATCGTGAACTTAAGGTATGTTAAATATTTACACTTCTTTTCTGCCAATTAATTTTAATCAAACTGAAATTGTTGTATATAGACTTGTTAGTTTAAACATTGATTGTTAAAAAATCAGGATGGGGTTTTTGAACAGGTTTTTTCCAAAGATATACGTTCCCAGCTTGAGAGCATGCACATCAATTTTGATTATAAATCTGGTTAATACGATAAAGAAGAGAAGCCATATCATTTCCATCGCCAACAGATTAAATATGAGTCATCATGCGAGTTTACCTCTACATTTAGATTGTTATGCGAGTTAGGATCAACTCGGAATTGGCTAGTTTCGGGCTCCGAGAAGCCGAAACGCCGTTGATTATTGGCATCCTGAATTATTTGTTTTGCTAGAGAAAATTGCCTAACACGCGCTAAATATAATGTATATTAGAAGAAAATTGAATCTAGAATAACAAGTGATGTCAGATGTGGAAAAGTGAAAATTGAAAATTGAAAGATTAAAGATCTGATTAAAACTTTTTTCCTGTTTTCTGGTTCTTATTCCTGATTTCAGATGTTCAACTCACCCCAGCCTGGTTGCTAGTGTATCCACTATCTTTTTGAGCTTCCTCGGCTTTCTCCTTCTCTGCCTTGGACTGAAGCATCAAAGAGACACCGACCTATAAAATATTTATGCATGCCAAGAGTCCAACTATCAAATTTTCACACCTGCGTTCCCAGACGTTGACTCAGAATCAGCGCAATATGTCTTCTCTCTTTCGCTGTTGCTTTCTTCTCTAGATTTTTAGCTGCTTGATGAATACCCTAAAAGCACAAATTAAAAATGAGACTTGGCCCCGGAAGCGGACGGCAAAAAACCTTATAAAGAATGAGCATGGCTACCAAAGTCGTCCAATAGTATGCCACATACATGCCCATATTGACATATGGATTGCTCAAAAATGGCGCTGAGCATTCGGTACCGGACATGCTGAAAAATGAGTTGGTAGAAGAAGGAAGAAGTTTTTCGGCTTTTTTACCTATTCGATTGTCCCGTCATAGCTTGCCAGCCATAGATCATGATACCAAAGATAATTGCAGGCAGCAGCCAAGACATGACAATCAAAAGTTGCGTTTTGGTCGGACTCTGCCACTTTAGGTACTTCGCAGTGTGGCAAACTGAATTTGAATCATTTTAAAAGTGAGATTTTTGGCCTGACGTACCAGAAAGATATCTATCCGCCGTGATAAGTAAGACTGTTAAAATTGACACTAAGCAAAGTGTATAGTCTAAAAACAGCCACGTCTGACAGGCTACCCATCCCAAAGGCCATCTTTCGCCTGGAAGAATTATTATTCGATACGATAATTCGTTCTAAAAACTCTCACCATTTAGAACGTATACTGTGAAAAACGGAAATCCTTCTATGCCAATGATCAAATCAGAAATCGCTAACGATACAATATACCTGTTGCTAACCTGAAACAATATCCGGTTTCAAGAACTTCTCATCATTTGTTAGCATACCTGTTTACTGATATTTCTTTCAATTCTGTATGCCACAATAACCATTGCATTTCCGATTATAGTCTCCAGACTAAGAACAATGATGATAAGCCATACGATAACCTAAAAGAATTCAAAACATGTTCAGTAGAAGATCATATTTTTTTTGACATCCGATTATCGGATTCCGTTCCGATATCTAATACTTCCGACTTTAAGCTCATTCCTAGAGTTGAAAAATTTTTTTGCCTAATGCTCTTATTCGATTAGCAATTAGATTATTATGATATCGGAAAAATGACGAATCAGACGGAAACACACCTGGATAGGAACACTGTAGGGAGAGTTCCAACTGGTGTCGGCTGGCAACGGTGATACCGTAAAATTGGGCATCGAAGGTTCGAGAAGAGAAACGATGTTGAGTGGACGCGAAGCAGAAGCTTCTTCGGGATCTCTTTCACACTGAAAATTGTTGGTTAGAATGAGCAGAAGGAGAAAGATGGAAAGTGGAAGATAAAGAAGTAACAAGTTAAGTAGACAGCGATAAATCAAAAAAAAAAAAACAGAAAAAACGAGGAAGAAAAAAATGACTGGGATTTATCTTTTTCAAAAAAAAGTAGAAAAAAGAAGAATGAAGAAGATGAAGAGGGGAAGATCAGATTGGAAAACGACTAATCTCTAGGAATGAGTGATTCCCCTACTTAAAAATATTTTCCGATGGTTCTCAACAATCAGAAAAGTACACCCGAATGTTGCTTCTCTCTGTTTCAGGAAACCACTGCCAGAAGTCAGAAGCCAAAAAAAAAACACTTTTCTGTAGGAGGCGGCGCCTGGAGCCCTTGCTCTCCTTCTTTCTTTCCTCCCCTCGGATGTGTGTCTGTGTGTACGGACGGCGCGAATATATAGATATAAATGAAAGAGTGGCAAAGGAGAGCAAAAAAAGGGACACAACACATGATTTGAGGGTTCACATTGGATTGGTTTAAAGGAAGAAGAAAAAAAAAGGGGGGACCCTGTCGATGAGTGTTACTCAACTTTAAAGTTCACTCGACCGTATAGCCGGTGGAAGCAAAAACGAAGAAGTAGAAGTAGGACTTGGTGACCAGAGGAAGTTGAGGTTGGGATGGAGAAAAAGACGAGAAGCCTGGGGAAGATAGAAAAAGAACAAAAAAAACAACACACATAATCCGGACAAACGATTTTGGGACACACGGAGACCGAGAGTTTTCTAAGAATATTTGAGGAATATGATAACGAAGCAAGTAAAAAAGAGAAGAAAAACGAAAAGAGATAGTAAAAGGAATAGAAGACTCACAAAACAACACAATATATTTCGAACAGACTCACTTTGGAGTGGATTTGAAGTCGAAAAAATAGAATTTGGTTCTCTTTTTTTTACTTCAACTTCAGCCTGACTGACTTTTCAGAATGTTCAAAATAATATTGTACACATTGGGACGCATATAGACAGTGGGCGTGGCTGTAAGGGATATGGAGGTATTGAGGTAACAATTTTGGGGAACACACATGAAAATTTCGAAGAGAGATGGAGTGTTTTTTTATTATTTTCTTGCATTCTAGTTTACGAAGATATACGTGTATTTCGTTTGCCGGGTCGGAGCACCGTGTAAATCCAATATATGCTGATTTTATGTCCGCAATAATGAATTGAATTGCAAAATAAGTTAATGCAAGAAAAAGAAAGAGAGAAGAAGCTGGGCCAATAGTAGGAATATAAAGACTGAATATCTCCTTTTTTCCTTTCTCTCCTTTTCTAGATGAATCCAAGTGGCATCTTCTGCATATTCTGTTGCACACTAAAAAAGAAAGATATTCATCGGAAAAAAATGTAGTTCGTTATTCATCTCCGGCTGTTCAGATGCGGTTTTTTAGAAACAACTATTACGGTCGAAACAGGAAAATAAGGTTTTAGAGGGATTGAACTAAAAACCTGCAATTTGGCAGGTCGAAAAAGTAGAGAGAGTTTTGAAAATGATTTTCTGAGAGCTAAAATCGGAAAGGAACGGGCGAGTCAAGTCACAATCAGGCCTGTAATTTCGGATTGCAGCATCCGACGTGCTGGAAATTTGACAAACTGACAGAGCGGGATTTCGATGAGGGTTCAATTCATTTTTTAGCTTCACAGTGAAAAATGTTTAAATTTATCAATACTTCAAGTTTTAAAAAGTTCCAGTCTTGGTATAAATGTGTTCTGTTTCTACAGAATACTATCAATTATCCAAATCTTGAAAATCAGTCGGCGTAGTTAAAAAAGTGTACAAAACCTGAGCGCATACACACGAGAAGCAAAATATACAAGAAGAATATATCCCAAATTTCCCCGGGACCCCCATTTTCCATTTCTATTCTCTTGCCCTTTCCCCTTTCGACTATGTCAATTTCGGGGGCGGCGGAGACTTTGAAAAAAAAAGTAACTCTTGACATCGAAGCTCATGCTCAAAGCGTCTCTCAGCGACTTGTTCTTAAATCAGTTTATCGCAAGAATCCTCTTGTCCCCTATCGACGTAGCAGTGAATGAGATGATCGAGAAACGCGTGTGGAGTAAAATAAAGAAACGAATTCAGAATGAACCCGACGACAGATGTAGGTCATATTTCATAAGTGCGAAGAAGATCAGAGATTTGTTGTGAAAGGAAGCTGTAATAAAACGTGGGAAAATAAATTCATAAGGAAAAAGAGCTGAGAAAGAGAGAAGTCATTGAATCAATTTCTAATATTAGTCTATCTTTTTTTTCATCATGTTTTGTTTTTCACTTCTTTTTGAACGATAATCCCTGTTCGCTCTTCAAAAATCTCTCTCGGGATATTGATTAGGGTCGATACCACAAAAACAGTTTTATATTTCACTCAAGATAGGAAAAGAATTAATTTTCATCAAAAATCCAACGGTGAAAGATAGAGTTCAATACAACAATATTTTCATCGTTTATCTTCTAAAGACCATCAAGTTCAATATAATTAATTTCATTATTACGAGTGCGCACAATTAAGCACAAAAACAAGAGAAGGGCTTCTTCAACAAGGTAAACAAATATGAACACGTCATCTTGCGAGTCCGAAAAAAAGGAAGGATCGGCCCACCCCGAAGTTTCGGGCGATAACGATGCCGACCACAAAGCGCAGGAAACATTTTTGTGGGCGCCGAAAGGTAGGTCTAATTTATAGATTTTGCTTATGTTGTACATATTTTTTTCTCAGCCAAGCTACAAAGCTGACGCAAGAAAGGGAAGGTTCCCTTGGTGTCTTAAAAAAGATCAAGTTTAAGTTAGGCCTCTGGCCATTACTCTTTAACAAGACCCGCGGAAAAAAGATTCGAATTCGGTTTTCTCAGCTTAAGGTGTGTCAGTTCGCTTCGTCTGTGAACTCTACTATCCAAAAAAAGGCAAAACCGCATTAAGAGGACTGACAAAAAGCACTTGAGAATGAGAGCTAAATTGAGTTGTTAGTGCTTTTGCCTCAATAGAGTTCTGTTCCAAAGATGGACAACAAAAAATGAGGTTGCACAGTATGTCGCTCATTAAACAATACTTCGGCTGAGTAGAAAAAAATTGGGTTGCAAAAAACTTTACAATAAGAAGTAATAGGGAAAAAACGGCAAGTTTGGAAGAGTTGCGATGCGTTATGACATCTGATTGGCATTTTATGATGAAGGGAAAAGTCAAGTAACAAATTGGTTTAGAGTTGTTGAGATGCACATGCCCCTCCCTTCATGCCAAACCACAAGTATCATCATCAAGTAGTTAGTTTTGGGCGACCAAAGCTAGCCGAAAAAATGATGTGACAAGGATCATTCATCAGCACATATAAGCGTCTCGGGCTGCCAACTCTTTTCATAAGGATGAAGTAAGGATAAGGATAGGAAGAGATGAAGAAGGAAGCTGACTCTGACTCTGTGACGGCTAATGGATCAAAAACGTGAATTTCATGAAATACTAAAGGAATGATAAAGTAGGAAGAATTAAAATAGTCAAAATCTAAACATTTTGGGGTTTCACAGTAATCCCACACAATGTAAACATTTGGTTCCGTGATTCTCTTTTTATTTAAATTTTTAAAAAAGCAAAGACGGAAAAAGTGTCAGTTTCTCAATTACAAAATATAAAAATGATATCTAGATTGCTTTTTTGTGAAGGTGGATTACTTCTTTCTCAAGTATTTAGATACGGGGCGATGCTCTCCAATCTATGCAGTGTTGAAGTAAGAAAAAACATAAAAAGCCTACAAACATTACAAAGGGGGTGGGAGGAGAGTTCGAACATAATTTGTCGAAACAAACACATATCTGGTCGTAGTGGCTAACAAAAGCAAATTTCGAGAACAAAAAAACTGTGAAAAACGAAAACACATAAAGACAATAAAGTCTAACTTTTGTTTTAAATATGAGGTTGTCAATAATGGTTTATTATGGAACACCAAAGGGGTTTTCGACCAATCAGATTTGAGAAATTTTGAAAAAAAATTTTATGACTCATGCTCACAGTTTAGTCGTTATGTCGTCAACACTCAATTTTAAGCCAATTTTTCTTAGTTCCTGTAAAAGGTACCAAAAAGTGATGAACTGACGAAAAAAAATTTTTTTTTTGATACTATTATGGAAAATTTTGTTAAAGGAGGCGAGACAGCAAAAATTTTGGAGGACAGTTCGGGGGCCGAAATCGCGCCGCGCTTATGTAGACTATCGGTCGTCAGGCGCCTTCGCGCCCTCGTAGCTCAGCCGGTAGCGGCGCTGTACCCCTGAGCTGCCTGTCATGAGTTTAATTCCTCATGGGGGTTCTCTATGCAAAATATCAGGAAAAATTTTTTTTTGGTGTCTGGCCTCCTTTGAGGAACAACTTTTCAATATTTTTCACGGGAAATGAGACATTTGTGCTCAAAGAGAACTATTTGGGGGCATTTTGTTAGAGTTTTTAAGTTGCTTTTAAATCGCAGAGCAAAATGTTATTCTCTGAATGTTCCTGCTATGAAAATGAGCCAACGTATTTTACTGTCATGCTGAACAATTCTCAGGGTTCATAATTAGTACAACAAATTAAGTAGCGGTGAAAACGCATACTTAGCTAGCTTGAAAGATGTACAAATGTTTGTATACAATGGTGAAGCCCCAAATTCCGCATAAAAAATGACGTCGACTCCAAAACCTCTATTGAAGATGATTAAAAAAAAACTTGACACAAGAAAAGTTGAATGGAATGGAAGAAAAAATGACTCCCAGGAAGAAGAAGAAAAAGGAGAAAATGGGTTGTGGGTCACTTTAAATGGCTTTTGATCAGTAATGCTCATCGCAGTCTATTCCGCTTCAATAAATATATTCCGGTAAGAAATAAAAGCAAGGTCGCTCCTCATGGAATCCGAGTCATCGTCTCACTCTTTTC